CAATGGACTGAAGACTTTGAGCAAACCTTTAGCTGGTTAACACCATGATGGACAGGCTTGCTGTAAGTTGCACCCTTGGGAACTGGGTGTTTTCAGCCACCATGGCGAACATGAATCCTATATATAACGTAAACTTGCTTGGCCTTGTAGCCCAGTTGGCGCGCTTTATCAGGCCGAGTGGAATGGTGAGCGCTGTGGAGAGCAGAGCTGGCAGTACTGCCAGCAACCTCCTCTTAGAAGAAAGCGCATGACATTAGACTGCTTTTCTCCATAGCTCCTGGATTTACTTGTATGCACCCATCTTGGCTTACATGGTGGCTGCCACTAGACGGAAAGGGTGCAGATTCTTTATTAAAATCACAATATGGGTTTATTAATCCCTTACTTGTAGTTATGGTTGTTTTTTGCCTGTTAAACATCAGCATTCTAGTATAATTTCCATTCTTTTACTCATAAAATTATGATGTGTAAAAAATACTGATTTTTTTCAAAAAGTTCTTGCTTTTCTTGAACCCTATGTTCATCATCAACCCTCTTTTCTCCTACTATTTGGTTCTTCAACCTTATTTTCTCCTGTTTGGTTCTTAGAAACCTCAAGTAAGCTTACTGTTGTTACCCTAATTAAATACCTTTTTTTTTTTTTTTTTTTTTTTTGAGGGGGACGGAGTCTCACTACAGGCCAGTGCAGGCTGGAGTGTAACCCAGGCTGGAGTGCAGTGGCACGATCTCGGCTCACTGCAAGCTCCGCCTCCTTGGTTCACGCTGTTCTACTGCCTCAGGCTCCCGAGTAGCTGGGACAACAGGCACCTACCATCACGCCTGGCTAATTTTTTTGTATTTTTAGTAGAGACAGGGTTTCACTGTGTTACCCAGGATAGTCTTGATCTCCTGACCTTGTGATCCGCCTGCCTCGGCCTCCCAAAGTGCTGGGATTACAGGCGTGTAATCCCACGGCCATGAAATACCATTTTAAGTAAGTTATATAGAAAAAACTGCATAAATATATTCTCTTTACAAAAATAAAAAACTTTCATGTCACCTTAAGAATTCACTGAGGCTGGGCGCAGTGGCTCACGCCCGTAATCCCAGCACTTTGGGAGGTAGAGGCTGAGGTCGGTGGATCATGAAGTCAGGAGATCGAGACCATCCTGGCTAACACGGTGAAACCCCGTCTCTACTAAAAATACAAAAAAAGTTAGCTGGGCATGGTGGCGGGCGCCTGTAGTCCCAGCTATTCAGGAGGCTGAGGCAGGAGAATGGAGTGAACCCGGGAGGTGGAGCTTGCAGTGAGCCAAGATGGCACCTCTGCACTCCAACCTGGGTGACAGAGCAAGACTCGGTCTCAAAAGAATTTACTAAATCTAAACTCCTTTTAAAAATTGCTGAGGACTGGTCGGGCGCGGTGGCTCATGCCCTTAATCTGAGCACTTTGGGTGGCTGAAGCAGGCGGATCACCTGAGGTCAGAAGTTCTAGACCAGACTGGCCAACATGGTGAAACCCCGTCTCTACTAAATATACAAAAATCAGCCGAGGGTGGTGGCCAGCACTTGTAATCCCAGCTACTTGGGAGGCTGAGGCTGGAGAATTGCTTAAAAACCCGGGAGGCAGAGGTTGCGCTGAGCCAAGATGGTGCCATTGCATTTCAGCCTGGCGAGTGAAATTCCATCTCAAAAAAAAAAAAGGCTGAGGATGGCCGGCTGTGGTGGCTCACACCTGTAATCCTAACACTTTGGGAGACCGAGGTGACCAGGGTTTGAGGTCAGGAATTTGAGACCAGCCTGGGCAACATAGTGAAACCCCATCTCAATTTAAAAAAAAAAAAAAGCTAAGGAATGGTCCTAAATATAGCTGACATAGTTAATTTAGATATTTACCTATTGATCATCTTAATTTTTTTTCATTTTTGTATTTAGGTGAGGAAACCGAACATTTTTATTCATCTTATATCCATGTGTGCCTTTCTCTAGGGTAGATGCTGAGAAGTAGAATTGTTAGGTTATAGAGCATTTTTTTTTAGTTTACAAGTTGCTTTTTATTTATTTATTTTTTAAATTTTTAAATTTTTATTTTTATTTTTTATTTGTGCTAGGATTACAGGCATGAGCCACCGTGCTGGCCTTTACAAGTTGCTTTTTAAAGTAACTGTACAAATTGATACTCCCACTATTAGAATTTGAGAATTGTCTTCTTTCACATTTTTTTTTTTTTTTTGAGACAGAATCTCACTGTTTCACAAGTCTGGAGTGCAGTGTCACTGTGTCAGCTCACTACAACCTCCGTCTCCTGGGTTCAAGCAATTCTCCTGCCTCAGCCTCCCGAGTAGCAGGGATTACAGGCGTCCACCACCACGCCTGGCTAGTTTTTATATTTTTACTAGAGACGGGATTTCACCATGTTGGCCAGGCTGGTCTTGAACTCCTGACCTCAGGTGATCCGCCTGCCTTGGCCTCCTAAAGTGCTGGAAGTACAGGTGTGAGCCACTGCGCCCGGGCCTTCTTTAACATCTTTAAAAGCACTAATTTTTACTACATTTGCCCTTAAATATGATAAAATGTGAAATATTGATATCATCAGTGCATTTTCTTAATTAAAATTTTGCCAAAAGGTTATGGTCATAAGAATTAAACTGAGTGAAATAGGCTCTGTTATGTTGTAGCTTTTGTTTAAAGTATCCTAGCCCTTAAAAGTATATTGTTTTCCTTATCTGTTTATAGTTATTTCCTTGTAGGTCCCAGTATTTAAAAATAACATTTTATTGTTTATTTGTTTTTATTTTATTTTATTTATTTATTTTTTTGAGATGGAGTCTCGCTCTCTTCCTCAGGCTGGAGTGCAGTGGCACGATCTCGGCTCACTGCAACCTCTGCCTCCTGAGTTCAAGCGATTCTCATGCCTCAGCCTCCAGGCACAGCCCCTGTGCCTGGCTTGTTTCTTACTTAGAAACAAAAAACAGATTTCATCTGTATGAATATACATGTTTTAGGCCGGGTGCGGTGGCTCACGCCTGTAATCCCAGCACTTTGGGAGGCTGAGGCAGGCGGATCACAAGATCAGAGATCCAGATTATCCTGGCTAACACAGTGAAGCCCCATCTCTACTAAAAATATGAAAGATTAGTCGGGCGTGGTGGCATACGCCTATCATCCCAGCTACTCAGGAGGCTGAGGCAGGAGAATCGCTTGAACCTGGGAGGCAGAGGTTGCAGTGAGCCAAGATTGCACCACTATACTCCAGCCTGGGTGACAGAATGAGACTCTGTCTCAAAAAAAAAAAAAAAAAAAAAAGATATACATATTTTTTAATGTGAAAAATTTTTTAATTTAAAACAATTTCCTAAATTGGCTTGCTATTTCAGTCTTAGGTGTTCTCTAATGACATGCAGTGTGATTTCCTCCATGTTAAAACAATGAGAAAATGAAAAATTTCCTTTCTTAGGCTTCTTTTACCTGTAATCTGTATGTATATATAATTTTTTTTTTTTTTTGTATCAGAGTCTCACTCTGTTGCCCAGGCCGGAGTGCAGTGGTGCAGTCTTGGCTCACTACAACTTTCACCCCTGGATTCAAGTGATTCTCCTGCCTCAGCCTCCCAAGTAGCTGGAATTACAGGCGTGCGCCACCACACCTGGTTAATTTTTGTTTTTTTAGTAGAGATGGGGTTTCGTCATTTTGACCAAGCTGGTCTTGAACTCCTGGCCTCAAGAGATCTGCCTGCCTTGGCCTCCCAAAACTGTTGGGATTACAGGCGTGAGCCACTGAGCCTGGCCTGTGTATGTAAAATTATATTTAAAACCTGGTGGGCTTCTTTCCATGTCAATACATACACAGCTTTGTCTGATTTCTAAAAGTTATATAGTATTTTGTGTATTAATACGTAGAGGCTAAATAGGATTATCAACAAAGTTGCACTGAACATCCTATATAAACATCTTGGTACCTTTTCTTGATTCCCAGATAATTTCCCGAAAATGGAATTCTTTTATTAAAAGGTTATATACATTTTAGTGACAGATTACCCTTGAAAGATATACTACCTTGGCTGGGCGCCGTGGCTCATACCTGTAATCTCGGCACTTTGGGAGGCCAGGGTGGGCGGATTACTTGAGGTCAGGAGTTTTAGACCAGCCTGGCTAACATGGTGAAACCCTGTCTCTCCTAAAAATCCAAAAAAGTTAGCCAGGCATGGTGGCAGGCGCCTGTAACCCCAGCTGCTTGGGAGGCTGAGGCAGGAGAAGGACTTGAACCCAGGAAGGGGAGGTTGCAGTGAGCCAAGACTGTGCCACTGCACTCCAGCCTGGGTGACAGAGTGAGAAGACTCTGTCTCAACAAAAAAAAAAAAAAGGAAAGAAAGAAATACTACGTCATACTCTTACCAACAGCATGAGAGAAATAAGAGACTCTGTCTCAAAAAAAAAAGTTATATTTGTAATTTTCTCCTGTTATATTCTTTTTTTTTTTGACAATCTAGCTCTGTCACCCCAGCTGGAGTGCAGTGGTTTGATCTCGGCTCACTGCAACATCCACCTCCCGGGTTCAAGCGATTCTCCTGCCTCACCCTTCTGAGTAGCTGGGACTATGGGCATATGCCACCACACCTGGCTAATTTTTCTATTTTTAGTAGAGATGGGGTTTCACCATGTTGGCCAGGCTGGTCTCAAACTCTTGGACCTCCAGTGATCCACCCGCTTTGGCCTCCCGAAGTGCTGGGATTACAGGTGTGAGCCACCAGGCCTAGCCTATATTCTATTAATGAAAGGATTGTTCTGTTCGTTCAGTGTAACACACTGTTAATATTTCTTTCTTCTTGATTTGGAGACTGAAGACCACCTTGAATCTATGTGTCAAATGGAGTTGATTTTTTGCTAGGAATTTGAGTCTTAGAACTTTGGATTTTGTTGGAAATGATGATTATACTGATTTACTGAAATTGCCATAATAGTTATTTTGTTAAATTTATTGAATGAAGTAGTTGTAAAAACAATTCTATATATTTTCTTTAGAGTTCGGTTCCCTCAAAATTATAAAAGCAGGAAAACTCAAGACAAAGAAATCCAACAAGGTATGTTTTCATAGGAAATAGTTCTTAACTGTACTGATTTTTGAAAATTGAGGCTAAGAACTCTTAGGTTATTGTAAGTGTATTTTTCTTCTAATTGTACTGTTGGTATTAGATTAAAGTTAATATTATGGAGAATCATAACCTTTATCCAAATCTCTATATATGCCTTTGCTATCATGTATAACTCAATTTAGTTAATGTCATTAAATAGTGGTGAAAGTTTTATCATAAGATTAAGCCATTCTTATTGCAAATGTTCTATTGTTTGCAGAAACTTTTAGATTAATTTGGCAGATGCCTGCATATAACTGAATGTGAATGATTATTAAAACTTCTTTCACTTTTAGAAAATGTTTTTTTCTGCTTAAAATTTCTAAAACTAATTTGCAGACCTAACTCTTATTTGTTACTTCTTAGGCTAGTGATTTCAGCGATATGGAGAATTGGCCAACACCAAGTGAATTAGTGAACACTGGAGTGAGTATTATTTTAAAGTTTTTCTTTAAAGAAAGGAAAATATATCCATTTCAACATGCAGAATTTTATTTTATTTAAAATGTAAAGAATTGTCATACTGGGGGACAGATTTTTTTTTATTTGTTTAAGATAGGGTCTTGCTCTGTCACCAGGCTGGAGTGCAGTAGTGTGATCACAGCTCATTGTAGCCTCAAACTCCTAGGCTCAGGTGATCTTCCTACCTTGACCTCCAGAGTAGCTGGGACTACAGGCACGCACCACTGTGCACAGCTAATTTTTGTATTTTTCATAGAGACAGGATTTTGCTGGTCTCCAACTCCTGAGCTCAAGTGATCCTCCTGCCTCAGCCTCCCAAAGTGTTGAGATTATAGTATGAGCTACGAACCTGGCTGAGTAACAGATTTAAAAACTTGATTCATCAAGAAGATTACATTTTGTTAGTTTAATTTGCAGTTATTCTTTGATGCTGCCAGTAGCATTAGTAATGAACTTGTCTTAAGGTTTACTCATGGTAAGCTTAACCTAACCTATTATTTCTTTCTTTCTTTTTTTTTTTTGTTTGTTTGAGACAGGGTCTCATTCCATTACCCAGGCTGGAGTGCAGTGATGTGATCACAGCTCACTGCAGCCTTGGCCTTCCAGGCTCAGGTGATCCTCCACCTTTGCCTCCCAAGTAGCTGGGACTACAGGTGTGCGCCACCACACTGGCAGGTTTTAAACTTTTTGTAGAGATGGGGGTTTGGCCATGTTGTCCAGGCTGATATCGAACTCCTGAGCTCAAGCAATTGGCTCGCCTCAGCCTCCCAAAGTGCTGGGATTATAGGCGTTAGCCACCATGCCTTGCCTATTATTTCTTTAATAATGAAGACATATTATAAATTGTAATCAAATTTTTATATTTGTATAAAATTACATACATTGATAAAGAGGTGCTGAAAACATGGCAGCTATCCTTTTGATAGTTTACCCACATTTCAGATAACCTAGTTTAATTCATCACATTTCCCTCATCTGATTGTATTCTTTTTTTGAGACGGAGTCTTGCTCTGTCACCCAGGCTGGAGTGCAGTGGTGGGATTTCAGCTCACTGCAACCTCTGCCTCCCTGGTTTAAGTGATTCACCTGCCTCAGCCTCCTGAGTAGCTAGTATTACAGGCACGCACCACCACATCCGGCTAATTTTTGTATTTTTAGTAGAGACTGGGTTTCACCATGTTGGTCTCCAACTTCTGACCGTGGGTGATCCACCCACCTTGGCCTCCCAAAGTGCTGGGATTACAGGTGTGAGCCACCGTGCCTGGCCTCCTCTGGTTGTATTCTTAAGAGGTAACCTGGCCGGGCACGGTGGCTCAAGCCTGTAATCCCAGCACTTTGGGAGGCCGAGACGGGCGGATCACGAGGTCAGGAGATCGAGACCATCCTGGCTAACACGGTGAAACCCCGTCTCTACTAAAAATACAAAAAACTAGCCGGGCGAGGTGGCGGGCGCCTGTAGTCCCAGCTACTCGGGAGGCTGAGGCAGGAGAATGGCGTAAACCCGGGAGGCGGAGCTTGCAGTGAGCTGAGATCCGGCCACTGCAGTCCAGTCCGGGATACAGAGCAAGACTCCGTCTCAAAAAAAAAAAAAAGAGGTAACCTTATATGCGAGATTTGCATTTTCTAGAATTTTGTATATATGGAAGCATTCAGTAGGTACTCTTTTTTCTTTTTTTTTCCTGGCTTCTACTCAGCGTGATTATTTTGAGATTTTACTTGTGTGTCAGCAGTTCATTCCTTTTTCTTGCTGAGTAGTATGGATGTAACACAGTTTGTCCATTCACCTATTGTTAATGGACATTTGGATTAATTTTGGGTTTTGGTTGATACAGATAAAGCTGCTATATGAACGTTTGTGTAGAACATTTTTCATTTTTTCTTGGGTATGTCACTAGGCTGGATCATATAGTAGTTACCTGTTTTAGCTTTTTAAGAAATTGCCGAATTTGCACTTCTGTCAGCAGTGTACGTGAATTCCAGTTACTCCACATTTTCACGCCCTCTCTTTTTTTTTTTTTTTGTGAGACCCGATCTCACTTTGTCACCCAGGCTGGAGTGCATTGGCGTGATCTCAGCTCACTGTAGCCTTGACCTCCTGGGCTCAAGTGATCCCCCACCTTAGCTCCATAAGTAGCTGGGACTATAGGCATGCACCACCATGCCTGGCTAAGTTTTTTGTATTTTTGTAGAGATAAGGTTTTGCCATGTGCCCAGTCTGGTCTCAAATTCCTGAGCTCAACTAATCTACCTGCCCTGGCTTCCCAAAGTGCTAGGATTACAGGTGTGAGCCACCGCACCCATCTTTACTCGCCCATAGTTTAGTCAAGTTTCAAAAAAATTTTAGCCATTCTAATAAATGTGGAGTGGTCTCCCATTGCAGTTTTAATTTACATTTTTCTGACGAATGAATGCAATAATCTTTTCATAGATTTGCCATCGGTATATCTTTTTGATGAAGTATCTGATCAATCTGCCCATTTAAAAAAATGGAAGGCTGGGTGCAGTGGCTCATGCCTGTAATTGCAGCACTTTGGGAGGCTGAGGAGGGTGAATCATTGGGGTCAGGAGTTTGAGACCAGCCTGACCAACAGGGCGAAACCCTGTCTTTACTTAAAAAAAAAAACAAAACTAGCCAGGTGTGGTGACATGTGCCTGTAATACCAGCTACTAGGGAGGCTGAAGCAGGAGAATTGCTTGAACCCAGGTGGTGGAGGCTGCAGTGAGCTGAGATCGTGCCACTGCACTCCAGCCTGGGCAACAGATTGAGACTCCTTCCCCCCCACCAAAAAAAAGTGGAATTGATTTCTTGTTACTGAGTTTTGAAAGTTCATTCTGTATTTTAGATAAAAGTTCTTTCTCAAATACTTAAATACTTTCTCCTAGTCTGCAGCTTTACTTTTAACTGTCTTTTGAGAAGTAATTTTTTGCTTTTGATAACAGTTTTTGTCATTTGTTTTGCAATTTTAAGTTAGGTATATTACCACAAATTTTTGGGTGTGTTAGTGAAAATGTTAATGGAAATCATTTCATTCTGAAAACCTTTTTGCAGTTTCAGAGCGTCCTCAGCCAAGGAAATAAAAAGCCACAAAATAGAAAAGAAAAAGAAGAGAAGGTTGAAAAGAGAAGTAACAGTGAGAGCAAAGAAAATCGGGAAACAAAGTTAAATGGTCCTGGTGAAAATGTCAGTGAGGATGAGGCTCAGTCAAGTAATCAACGAAAGAGAGGTCAGTTTGTCCATATCTTTATTTTGATTTTAGTTTTTGAAGAAAGTTGTAATGAGGAATTGTATTTCATTAACTTATCTCTGATAGTCAAAAATGTATAGTTTGTATTTCTTCAGGATAAACAATCTGCAGTGGTAACTCATTTGCTTTTGTAACATTTCTGAACTATTAGACTTTCCTTTTTGTATGCAACTTGTATTCTATGCAAGAAAATGGAATGGAGTTCCACTTAGAGGTACAGTTGTAGATACATTCTTGGAAAGTTGTGTGACAATTATTGTTCTTTTACATCTGCATTGGAACTGCTCCCTATATTTAGGGAGTACTGTGAAAATTAGATACATTTTTTTCCTAAGAGAAAAGTGAGAATAGGCCAGGCGCAGTAGCTCACACCTGTAATCCTAGCACTCTGGGAGGCCGAGGCGGGCGGATCACTTGAGATCAGGAGTTTGAGACCAGCCTGGCCAACATGGTGAAACCCTGTCTCCACTAAAAATACAAAAAAAATTAGCCGAACACGGTGGTGCACGCTTGTAGTCCCAGCTACTCGGGAGGCTGAGGCAGGAGAATTGCTTGAACCCAGGAGGTGGAGGTTGCAGTGAGCCAAGGTTGCGCCATTGCAATCCAGCCTGGGCAACAGTGCAAGACACTGTCTCAAAAAAAAAAAAATTTTTTAGTCAGCCTTTTCCCTCATAGCATTCCCCTGTCAAAATTACACTTTGAAGGAATAAAAATATTGTCTTCATGTCCTTTTCCATTTTCTTCTCTGAACTTTTCATGTGTCTAGGGACAGTTTATGATTTACCTGCTTTGTAAAAGCATATACTCATTCAGTGGTCAGAGTCTTGGTCAAAGTGTCTTCACGCGCTTCTAGGCAGAAAAGGGCTTTAAACTGTTAAGTTGTCGGTGACTGAAGCAAGGTGATCTTCTGGGAGAGTAGCAGGAGATGAGGTTAGAGACATAGATAGGCAAGGTCCATGGTATACAGGGCCTTGGAGTTAGGATTCTATTTTTTTTTTTTTTTTTTTGAGATGGAGTCTCGCTCTGTCACCCAGGCTGGAGTGCAGTGGCCGGATCTCAGCTCACTGCAAGCTCCTCCTCCCGGGTTCTAGCAATTCTTCTGCCTCAGCCTCCTGAGTAGCTGGGATTACAGGCACACGCTGCCACGCCCGGCTAACTTTCTGTATTTTAGTAGAGACAGGGTTTCACTGTGTTGCCCAGGCTGGCCTTGAACTCCTCAGGCAATCCACCTGCCTCGGCTTCCCAAAGTGTTAGGATTACAGGCGTCAGCCACCGTGCCTGGCCGAATAGTTTGTTTTTCTAATAAACAACTAATCCTTAGTTCAGGATAAGCATGATGGTTACTTGATACCATAAATAAAGGCTGATTGCTCAGAAACAGTGACAAGAAGACAAACAAGTGGTTGTTAGAAAAATTTATCCCTATTTCTTTTTTTTAAGTTTTAAATTTAAAAATGTTTTTAAAATTTTGAGACAGGGTCTTGCTGTGTCACCCAGGCTGGAGTTCAGTGGCATGCTCATGGCCCACTGCAGCCTCGATGACCTGGGCTCAAGTGTTCCTCCCACCTCAGCCTCCTGAGTAGCTGGGACTACAGGCATGTGCCACCACGCCTGGCTAATTTTTGTATTTTTTTGTAGAGACAAGGTTTCCCGATGTTGGCTAGGCTGGTCTTAAACTCCTGGGCTCAAGTGATCCACCTGCCTCAACCTCCCAAAGTGCCGGGATTAGAAGTGTGTGCCACCATGCCTGGCCTCCCCATTTCTTAACTACTTCGTCGCTTAACTATTTCCTGCTTTCTTATTTTATTTTATTTTATTTTTTTTTGAGACGGAGTCTGGCTCTGTCACCCAGGCTGGAGTGCAGTGGCCGGATCTCTGCTCACCGCAAGCTCCGCCTCCCGGGTTCACGCCATTCTCCTGCCTCAGCCTCCGGAGTAGCTGGGACTACAGGCGCCCGCCACCTCGCCCGGCTAGTTTTTTGTATTTTTTAGTAGAGACGGGGTTTCACCGTGTTAGCCAGGATGGTCTCGATCTCCTGACCTAGTGATCCGCCCGTCTCGGCCTCCCAAAGTGCTGGGATTACAGGCTTGAGCCACCGCGCCCGGCCTATTTCCTGCTTTCTACATACATAAGTAGTGTTCTTGACTGTCTAGAATCCATACAGATGACAGATTTGTTATCCTGATCTAAAATTTGTCTTTATTAATTGCTTCAATTAAAACTGGTCAGTCAACACTAAAACCCAGGTGTTTTGTAGTTAGAACAATTCATATAATCAAGCTATTAATTGATCTAGAGTACAGATTTTTGACTTCAGAAGAAGGGTTTCTTTGTGTCAAGGAATCTCATTGACATAAATTTATAGTATAAGATTAAAAGCCTTTTTAGATGCATTTATATTCACTTTTCCTCATTTGATCCATAGTTTGCAGGATTTATAGGATATCAATATTGTAGTTGCACACTAATATTTCTTTTTAAATTACCTTGGCAGTTTTTTCATTCCCATGAGTCTTTATTTTAGTAGAAAATATAGATTGGGCAGAATACTGAACATTTTGAAACCCGAGGTATGGCATTCATGAAGAGATGATCTTCAGAATTTCACTATAGAATAATCATAAATAGTTACATTGTCATTTAGTCATCAAGAAAAGTCAAATTGCTTGTGTTTTTTTGTCCTTAGGAAGATGCACAATAGCTGTAAAAAGTTCTGTCAAGTTAAACAAATTTTATACTTATCCATTTTCCCTCTTATATTTTGAGAAACCTCATTCATTAGTAAAAATCCTGGGTAAATTAATATTTTAGGCAGTGATCTGGAGCTAAAAGTGCTTCAAACCTAAAGCCTAACTTTCCAAAGTATACATTATAGTGTTTTATCAGATATATCCCATTCTAAAGCCTAAGAATTTTAAATTAAACTTTTTTTTTTTTTTTAAAGCATAAGGTACTAAACAGAATAGTATGTATATGTACTTTTTTGTTTGTTTGTTTAGAGACAGAGTCTTGTCTTGTGCAGTGGCACGATCTTGGCTCTCTGCAACCTCTGCCTCCCAGGTTCAAGGAATTCTCCTGTCTCAGCTTCCCAAGTAGCTGGGACTACAGGCATGTGCCACCAGGCCTGGCTAATTTTTGTATTTTTAGTAGAGATGGGGTTTCACCATGTTGGCCAGGCTGGTTTTGAACTCCTGACCTCAGGTAATCTGCCTGCCTCGGCCTCCCAAAGTGCTAGGATTACAGGTGTGAGCCACCACGCCCGGCCTTTTGGCATGATCTTGGCTCACTGCAAGCTCCGCTTCCCAGGCTCAAGCTATTCTTGTGCCTCAGCCTCCTGAGTAGCTGGGATTACTGTCGTGTGCCACCACACCTGGCTAATTTTTGTACTTTTTAGTAGAGACAGGATTTCTCCATGTTGGTCAGGCTGTTCTTGAACTCCTGGCCTCAAGTCATCCACCCACCTCGGCCTCCCAAAGTGCTGGGATTACAGGCATGAGTCACTGTGTCTGGCCTCTTTACAAATAATCTTGAAATATACATTGTTTCACTTATTTGATTAAAGTTCAGAGTGCTTTCAAATTGCAAGGGTTTAGTGAAAATTGTGCATTTGTCCTTAAATGATTTTATTTTGTTTTCTTCAAGCTAATAAACACAAGTGGGTACCACTCCACTTAGATGATGTAAGATCAGAGAGTCAAGAAAGACCTGGATCCCGGAACAGCTCAAGATGTCAACCTGAAGCAAATAAACCAACACATAACAATAGGAGAAATGATACACGAAGTAAGTTACCATTCTAAGACAAAAATGACTAAGGAAAGACTTAGTCTTAATGCTTGTTATTTTAGTAACCACATGTATAAACCATTTGAGAATAAGTTGAAGACATCATGTCCCTTTAACCCTAAATACCTTCAGAGTATATTTCATAAGAACAATATAACCGTAATGCAATTAACAACAATGAAACTTAACATTAATACAATGTGATTGTCCACAGGCAGATTTTTCTCAATAAAGTCCTTTATAGTCGTTCCCTCCCCTGCTCCAAGGATCCATTCTGGGATCACTCATTTAATTTTTTTTTTTCTCTTTAGGCTCCATTAATCTGTAACAGTTCTTTTGCTTTTATCTTTCATGACGTTGATTTTTTTGAAGATTGTAGGATAATTGTATTGTAGATATCCTTTACTTTGGGTGGGTTTTCTGATGTTTCCATGTGATTGGATTGGGGTTGTGAATTTTTGGCCAGGAGTACTGTGTAAAAAAATAATATTTTCTTCTTAGTGAGTTGCCTGGCAGTATGACCTTGGTTTGTTCCATTATTGAAGATATTAACTTTGATTACCCCTATAACTTTATTTGGTTATTTGATTACAACATTGATTAATATTAATTTTGATTGCTCCTGTAACTTTATTTGATTGTTAGTTTGATTACAACATTGGTTATTATTATTATTATTTATGTTTTTTGTTTGAGATGGAGTCTCATTCTGTTGCCCAGGCTGGAGTGCAGTGGCATGTGATCTGGGCTCACTGCAACCTCTGCCTCCCAGTTTCAAGCAATTCTTCTGTCTCAGCCTCCCAAGTAGCTGGGACTACAGGCTCATGCCACCACACTCGGCTAATTTTTTTTTTTTTTTTTTTTTTTTTTGAGACGGAGTCTTGCTTTGTCGCCCAGGCTGGAGTGCAGTGACCGGATCTCAGCTCACTGCAAGCTCCGCCTCCCGGGTTTACGCCATTCTCCTGCCTCAGCCTCCCGAGTAGCTGGGACTACAGGCGCCTGCCACCTTGCCCGGCTAGTTTTTCGTATTTTTTTGGTAGAGACGGGGTTTCACCGAGTTAGCCAGGATGGTCTCGATCTCCTGACCTCGTGATCCACCCGTCTCAGCCTCCCAAAGTGCTGGGATTACAGGCTTGAGCCACCGTGCCCGGCCCCACTCGGCTAATTTTTTAATTTTAATTTTTAATTTTTTTTTTTTTTTTTTGAGACGGCGTCTTGCTCTGTCGCCTGGGCTGGGGTGCAGTGGCCAGATCTCAGCTCACTGCAAGCTCTGCCTCCTGGGTTTACGCCATTCTTCTGCCTCAGCCTCCTGAGTAGCTGGGACTACAGGCGCCCGCCACCTCGCCCGGCTAGTTTTTTGTATTTTTTAATAGAAACTTGGTTTCACCGTGTTAACCAGGATGGTCTTGATCTCCTGACCTCGTGATCCGCCTGTCTCGGCCTCCCAAAGTGCTGGGATTACAGGCTTGAGCCACTGTGCCCGGCCGATTTTTTTATTTTTAGTAGAGATGGGGTTTCACCGTATTGGCCAGGCTGGGCTCTAACTCTTGATCTCAGATGATCCACCCACCTCAACATCCCAAAGTGCTGGGATTATAGGCTTGAGCCACTGCGACCGACCACAACACTGATTATTAACTTTGATAACTTGGTTTAGGTAGTGTACTCTAGACTAAAAATTTTTAAATTTTCTTCAGTTTTTTGTTTAATTATAAAAATACTCTTTTCTCCCTTTGTAATTACTATGTAATTTGTGGAGAGAGGCTTTGAGACTGTGGAGATAATAATTTTCTCATTAGACTTTTCAAACAAGCTTTAGCTTCCTCTTTTTTTTTTTTTTTTTTTAAATAAGTGATGGGGTCTCATTCTGTTGCCCAGGCTGGAGAGCAGTGGGACAGTCATAGCTCACTGCAGTCTCGAACTCTTGGGCTCAAGTGATCCTCCCACCTCAGCTTCCCGAGTAGCTAGGATGACAGGTGCATGCCACTATGCCCGGCTAATTAAATAAAAAGTTTTCTTTAGAGACAGTCTTGCTGTGTTGCCCAGGCTGGTCTTGAACTCCTTGTCTCAAGCGATTCTCCTGCCTCGGCCTCCCGAAGTGTTGGGATTACAAAGTTAAGCCACTGCACTCAGCTTCTCCCTCTTTATTGCCAAATAATATTCTGTTGAATGCATATAGCCCTTTGTCTTTTTATCTGTTGATGGATAAGGGGCTTGTTTATAGTTTTTGGACTTTGAATAACGCTGATGAATAGTTGTTTACAAGTCTTTGTGTGGAATGTATGTATTTCTCAAATGCCTGTGAGTGAATTGATTGGTCATATAGTAGCTGTGTATTTAACATTATAAGAAACGGCTACTTTGTAGCATTTTACATTTTCATCAGCAACTTTTTTTCTTTTTGCTATGTGTTAAGTCCCATGTCTAGTGGAATTCCTGTATTTTGGATTTGACTGATTGCTTTGTCATGGTATTCTTTTTTTCTTTTTTGAGACCGAGTGTTGCCCTGTCACCCAGGCTGGAGTGCAGTGGCGCCACCTTGGCTCACTGCAAGCTCCACATCACGCCGCAGTCTCCCAAGTAGCTGTGACTACAGGCGCTCGCCAGCACACCTGGCTAATTTTTTTTGTATTTTTTAGTAGAGACGGAGTTTCACCATGTTAGCCAGGATGGTCTTGATCTTCTGACCTCATGATCCGCCCTCCTTGGCCTCCCAAAGCGCTGGGATTACAGGCGTGAGCCACTGTGCCGGCCGCTTTGTCATGGTATTCTTTGGCATTTGCATGTTCCTTTTTTTTGTTTGTTTGAGACAGAGTCTCACTCTGTCTCCCAGGCTAAGTGCAATGGCATGATCTCGGCTCACTGCAACCTTCACTTCCTAGGCTCAAGCAATTCTCCTGTCTCAGCCTCCTCAGTAGCTGGGACTACAGGCATGCACAACCGTACCTGGCTAATTTTGTATTTTTTGTAGAGATGGGGTTTCCCCATGTTGCCCAGGCTGGTCTCAAACTCTTGGGCCCAAGCGATCTTCCAGCATCAGCCTCCCAAAGTGCTGGGATTAGAGGTGTGAGAGCCACTGTACCCGGCCTGCCTGTTCCTTTTAAAACTGGCAATAAGAAAGAGCTAGGTTGATTAGGTTCAGGCTTTTTTTTTTGCTTGGAATACTACTGTGTGTATTTCACTTTCAGTTGTGTTAATATTGAGTTAGCTCAGGTGTTAGGCTGATCATTCCATAAAAGGTATCCCATTAGTCTTTGGGTTTTTTTTTTTTTTTTGAGACAAAGCCTCACTGTCGCCCAGGCTGGAGTGCAGTGGCGCGATCTTGGCTCACTGCCTCCCAAAGTGCTGGGATTACAGGTGTGAGCCACTGCACCCCGGCCCATTAGTTTTTACTGAATGGTTTTACTTTCATTAAATATACTGGCCAGATACTTTTTTTTTTTGAGACAGAGTCTCACAGTATTGCCCAGGCTGGATTCTCCTGCCTCAGCCTCCCAAGTAGCTGGGATTATAGGTATGGACCACCGTGTCCGGCTACTTTTTGTAGTTTTAGTAGAGACAGGGTTTCACCATGTTGGGCCAGGCTGGTCACGAACTCCTGACCTCAGGTGATCTGCCTCCCTCGGCCTCCCAAAGTGCTGGGATTACAGGTGCGATCCAACACATCCAACCCAGATACATTTTTTCACGGAGTTTGCTCAGATTTTCAGAAAGCAGAGGATAGGAGGATATGTGGAAACAATAGGATGAGCATTTGTTTTTATAGTTTTCTGCTGAAATCTGATAAGTCATGTCCTGTGAATGGATAGAAAGGCCTAAGGAAATTTTACAGACAATATAGCCATTCAAAAATTTTAAATATACCTGTGTGGAGGTAAATATATTTTGATTAAAAAAAATTTCTAATGTATTATTAAAAACTTTAAACATACAAAAAATTGAAAGAATTGTACAGTGAATACCTGTCTAGCCACCATCTAGATTAATAATTTCTCTGTATTTAATTCATTTGTTTGCTGAATCCCTTGAAAGTAACTTGGAGCTGTTGACGCTTTATCACTAATGTCCTAAGAAAATGCATCATCTAAGAAAATCACACTAGTTTCCTAGTACCATCTAAAATCTAGTCAACAATTAATTTTTCTCAATTGTCCACAAAATATGACTTCTAAATTATAAAACTTTAACTAAATGCAATGGTGCAAGCCTGTAGTCCCAGCTACTTGGGAAGCTGAGGTGGGAGGATTGCTTGAGCCTGGGAATTTGGGGCTGTAATGCACAGTGATCATGCATGTGTAGGGGTGCATATATATATGTATGTATGTATAAAACTTGTCTATAGCAAAATGGACTTTTTTCCTACTGTTTTTCAAAATGTCATTTTAAGTTTTTATTCTAAAAGTAATGGATACTCCTAATTTCATTAATTTTTTTCTTATTAAATATTGAATATACGGCTGGGCGCGGTGGCTCAAGCCTGTAATCCCAGCACTTTGGGAGGCCGAGACGGGCGGATCACGAGGTCAGGAGATCGAGACCATCCTGGCTAACACGGTGAAACCCCGTGTCTACTAAAAAATACAAAAAACTAGCCGGGTGAGGTGGCGGGCGCCTGTAGTCCCAGCTACTCGGGAGGCTGAGGCAGGAGAATGGCATGAACCTGGGAGGCGGAGCTTGCAGTGAGCTGAGATCCGGCCCCTGCACTCCAGCCTGGGGGACAGAGCGAGACTCCGTCTCAAAAAAAAAAAAAAAAAAAAAAAAGAAAAATATTGAATATACAAGAAAATAGATATAAAGTTATACAGAACAACCATATAATGAGCTGACTATGGTGGCATTCACCTGTAGTCCCAGTTACTTGGTAGGCTGAGGTAAGGAGGATTGCTTGAGAGCCCAAGAGTTCGAGGCTGCAGTGAGCTATGATCATGCCACTGCAGTCTGGGTGACAGAGTGAGACCCCATCTGTAAAATCAATAATAATAATAATGATGATGATGATGAACAGTGGAAACTCACCCTGTTTAAGAAATATATATTACTATTACTTTTAAACTTCCCGTTGTGCATTCTGCAGTTTCATCCCATTGTTTCGGAAAAAATGAGCTTAAGTGCATTGGTTTGTTGCATGTTTTGAAATCGCCGTGCAATGTGACTTTATCAACATTCTTTGGCAGGAATTTTTTTTTTTTTTTAAATCCAGCCTACTTTTCTTTAGATTAATGTGTGTTGGTTGTATTACTGTAAGTCTTCTTTTCTCCTCCTGCTGAAAGGCTGTTTCACTATTTGATAAAATCTGTACTAATGGTGGTGGGTATTTGGATTGTTTCTTGTTTTTTTGATATTAAAGTGCTACCGTAAACATTTTAATATGCATGTTTTCCAGCACTCAAGTACAAGAGGCTCTCTAGGGTAATTTTTTCAGACTGCAGACTATAGTCTGTGAGTGGGTTATGAAATCAGTATATTGGTTCATGATAAGGTTTTTAAAAACCTAGAGTGCTTCACATAGTAAATTTTAAAATGATATGTGTTTAAATTATAAATTTTCTTGTAAGTGTACTTGTGTGTGACATACATAAGGCTTACTTACAGATTGAGGCAGAAATGTTTGAAAAAGTGGCTGGGCACGGTGGTGCACTCCTGTAATCCCAACACTTTGGGAGGGGGAGGTGGGTGGATCGCTTGAGCTCAGGAGTTCAAGACAAGCCTGGGCAACGTAGTGAGACCTCATCTCTATTTTTAAAAAAAGAGAAATGTTTGAAAAAGACTGTTTTAGGTCTAAGCATTGAGGATGGAACTATGGAATCTAAGGTAATGTTCTCAGTGAGGGTGATTTTTTTTTTCCCCATAGAGTCATTTGACATTGGAGATATTTGTTACGGGTTGTCACAACTGAGGGAGTGAGTGGGTGCTACTGGCATCTAGTAGGTGGTGGTCATGGATAATGCTAAACATCCTGTAGTCCACAGAACAGGCCCCCACACCAAAGTCTAAAGTGCTAAGGTTGTAAAACCTTTTCTCTAGGATTTGCATATCTTCACATTAATTAGATTATTCCAAGTTGATTTTCAAAGTAGATATACCTGTTTTCAACCTTATTAGCAATATACAAATGTTCTACCTGTTTTTTTGAGACAGAGTCTCACTCTGTTACCTAGGCTAGAGTGCAGCGGCGAGATCTCGGCTCACTGTAACCTCTGCCTCCCAGGTTCAAGTGATTCTCCTGCCTCAGCCTCCCAAGTAGCTGGGATTACAGGTGCCACCACCATGCCTGGCTAATTTTTTTTTTTTTTTTGAGGCGGAGTCTCGCTCTGTCGCCCAGGCTGGAGTGCAGTGGCCGGATCTCAGCTCACTGCAAGCTCCGCCTCCCGGGTTCACGCCATTCTCCTGCCTCAGCCTCCCAAGTAGCTGGGACTACAGGTGCCCACCACCTCGCCCGGCTAGTTTTTTGTATTTTTTAGTAGACACGGGGTTTCACCGTGTTAGCCAGGATGGTCTTGATCTCCTGACCTCGTGATCCGCCTGTCTCGGCCTCCCAAAGTGCTGGGATTACAGGCGTGAGCCACCACGCCCGGCCTAATTTTTGTAGTTTTAGTAGAGATGGGGTTTCGCCATGTTGGCAAGGCTGGTCTCAAACTCCTGACCTCAAGTGATTGGCCCCCCTCAGCCTCCCAAAGTGCTGAGATTACAGGTGTGAGCCACCATACCTGGCTAATGTTAAACCTTTTTAAACTTTGTCCACGTTTCATATTAGAGACATTAAAATATTTGTTGTACTGGGGTAAAGAACCTTTCATTGTCTTAATTAGCATTTCTTATAGTCAGTAAGGCTGAGCACTGTTTTCTTTTTTCTTTTTTTTTATTCTAAGATGGAGTCTTGTTCTGTTGCCCAGGCTGGAGTGCAGTGGCAGGGTGTTGGCTCACTGCACCCTCCACCTCCCAGGTTCAAACAGTTTTTCTGCCTCAGCCTACCAAGTAGCTGGGATTACTGGCATTCCACCACCACGCCCGGCTAATTTTTTTTTTTTTTTTTTTTTTTGAGACGGAGTCTCGCTCTGTCGCCCAGGCTGGAGTGCAGTGGCTGGATCTCAGCTCACTGCAAGCTCCGCCTCCCGGTTTCATGCCATTCTCCTGCCTCAGCCTCCCGAGTAGCTGGGACTACAGGCGCCCGCCACCTCGCCCGGCTAGTTTTTTTGTAGTTTTAGTAGAGACGGGGTTTCACCGTGTTAGCCAGGATGGTCTCGATCTTCTGACCTCGTGATCCGCCCGTCTCGGCCTCTCAAAGTGCTGGGATTACAGGCTTGAGCCACCGCGCCCGGCCTCCGGCTAATTTTTTGTATTTTTGGTAGAGACAGGATTTTGCCATGTTTCCCAAGCTGGTCTTGAACTCCTGAGTTCAAGCAGTTTGCCCGTCTCAGCCTACCAAAGTGCTGGTATTACAAGCATGAGCCACCACACCGGGCCTCTTTTTATGATTTCTTTTCTTTGAGAGGGACTCTTGCTCTGTAGCCCAGGCTGGAGTGCAGTGGTGCAATCTTGGCTCACTGCAACCCCTGCCTCCCGAGTTCAAGTGATTCTCCTCCCTCAGCCTCTTGAGTAGCTGGGATTACAGGTGTGTGCTGCGGCGCCTGGCTAAGTTTTGTATTTTTAGTAGAGGCGGTATTTCACTATGTCGGCCAGGCTGGTCTGCAGCTCCTGACCTCAGTTGATCCACCCACCTCGGCCTCCCAGAGTGCTGGGATTACTGGCCTGAGCCACTGTGCCCGGACTTGTATGATTATTGACTCATTGGTAGGCAGCGTTTTCAGTATTTATTGTCCACTTGCATTTTTTTGCCCTGCTTGTATTTTAGATATTTTCCCCATTGAGTGGTTGTGTGTGTGTGTGTGTGTGTGTGTGTGTGTGTTGCATGAGAGAGAGTGGTATGGTTCTTACATGTACTCTAGATAGAATTTCTGTATTTCGCTTCAGATATCTTTTCTCAATTTGTTTTGTGTTTTCATTTCCTTTTTACTTTATTTATTTTTTTTTTTGAGACGGAGTCTTGCTCTGTCGCCCAGGCTGGAGTGCAGTGGCCGCGATCTCGGCTCACTGCAAGCTCCGCCTTCCCGGGTTCACGCCATTCTCCTGCCTCAGCCTCCTGAGTAGCTGGACTACAGGCGCCCGCCACCTCGCCCGGCTAGTTTTTTGTATTTTTAGTAGCGACGGGGTTTCACCGTGGTCTCGATCTCCTGACCTTGTGATCCGCCCGCCTCGGCCTCCCAAAGTGCTGGGATTACAGGCGTGAGCCACCGCGCCCGGCTTCCTTTTTACTTTATAAGGAATGTCATTTACTTAAATAGAACCATCCTTAAATATTTTGTGAGAAGTGTTTTTTAGGAGTTTTATATAGTACAAATTAGTAGTCTTAGAATTTCTTGAATCTTTATCAGCACAATCTTCATAAAATTATCTCTTTATCTTTCTAATATGTGATTTTACTTGTTAGAATGTATTCTTCATATGCCAATACTTTTTAGGCTCTGTTTTATGCTAGAGATATTTTTGATAAATTCTTGTTGGATCTCTTCAGTTTGTATCCATCTGAAAAATGCCTGGCTACTGTTAATTAGTGACAAAGTGGAAGAAGGTGGCTACTATGTTTTCATAAAGACAATCATGTTATTTTACTTGGCAAATCGAAGTATATAAAAATATTTTTATTTTTAAAAGGTTGGAGGCGAGAGAGAGAAAAAAGAGATGATCAAGATGAAGTTTCCAGTGTGAGAAGTGAGGGTGGTAATATCCGAGGTTCCTTTAGAGGTCGAGGAAGAGGCCGAGGACGGGGAAGAGGACGAGGCAGAGGAAATCCTCGATGTATGACATAATTTTTGTTTTGTTAAATTAGATAAACTTTGAAAAAAATAGAGCAACTATCCTCTATTATGTTTTAACTAATTTTCTTTGTTTGGTAATAGATGATTTTATGTTTGTTAACCTTTGAAGTTCTTCACTTTATCTATAGTAACTATTTTTTTTTCTAATATGTGATTACCTTTCTTTTTCTTTATTCACATCAAGTGAACTTTGATTATTCATATGGTTATCAAGAACATGGTGAAAGGACTGATCAACCATTTCAAACAGAACTTAATACCAGTATGATGTATTACTATGATGATGGTACAGGTGTACAGGTGTATCCTGTGGAAGAAGCATTGCTTAAAGAGTATATTAAGCGTCAAATGTAAGTGGATGTTTGATGTAAGCAGATGGGATAGCAAAATCTGTGGCAATATCAAACTTTAATGTTACTGATAATGAATATGTTATAACTTTTTTTTTTTTTTTTTTTTTTTTCCTGAAAGAGTCTCTCTCTGTTGCCCAGGCTGGAGTGTAGTGGTACGATCTTGGCTCACTGCAGCCTCTGCCTCCCGGGTTCAAGTGATTATCGTGCCTCAGCCTCCTGGGTAGTTGGGATTACAGGCACATGCCACCACACCTGGCTAATTTTTGTAGTTTCGCCATGTTGGCCAGGCTGGTATTGAACTCCCGGCCTCAGCTGATCTGCCCACCTTGGCCTCTCAAAGTGCTGGGATTATAGGTGTGAGCCACCATGCCTGGCCTGTTATAACATTTTTAAAGCTACTTATTAGTAAAGGTTGGAAAATGTTAACAATTATTTTGGTTATATATTTTTAGGGAATATGATTAAAATAGGTATTTGAAAAATTTTGTATTTGGTTTATGTTGTTTATATGTCTCCTGGCTTCTATACTATTTAGATATTTTTCTCCTTAAAGGAGATTAGGTAAAATGTTATTGCATAATATGAATAAATATAAGACTGTAAAGCTTCTCTATATATACTTGAAATTGAAGAAGTAAAATTTGGCTTATTATTTGCCAGTAGGTGTTTATATTAGAATTTGCAAATGAATGTAAATAACAAAGAATGGTAGTATCTTTTAATTTTCTTCTTAGCAATTGACTTCTGAATTCTAAATTTTTTTTTTTATCTTCTGAGTTTTTCTTTGTGACATGTAATTAAATGGGGACTACCTTATATGTTAGTTCAGACTTCTTACTCTAGTTCTCATAGTAGTTGCTTTTTGGGTACTGAATGTGAAGTCAGGAGAATATCAGCTCTATTTTTTGAAAGGAAAAACAAACCCTATGCATATTAGTATTGTATAGGATATTTTGCTTATTTATAGGCAAGAGAAAAATGTTGCCAAGCAGTTTGCACAACCAATTTGTTAAAACTTGAAATTTTTCTCTCCTTACAAGGTGAAGGAAAAGGGCTATTTTTGAAAGGGCATAAGCATTTTAGAATCATCTATTTTTCCAAAATAAAATAGACTCTACTCTGTTACTAGAAAATTTCTTTATCATCATCAGCCAGGCACCTTCCTGGGTTGCCTTCATGGTGGATCCAATTTGCTTACAGTGTGGAGCAACTTGTTTATTTTGTTCTTGCTTCTTTTGTTACAGTTGATGCAAACACTGAAGAAAAGGGCCTTTTTATGGGCAGAAAGTGCTTGACATGTGGCTGTCAACTTCATACCACTATTACTGTCTTTTTTGTAACTTTTGCTGCCAAGCCCCTTCTGAGACCTGACAGTGGACATGCAACTCCACGTCAGGATAATCGGCCTCCAGTGCTCATACAAGTGAGGGAGGAGCAGAGCTACTTCAGTGTTGACAAAATTTCTGATCATGCAGTGTAGAATCCAGAACCTCTAAGGTAGGACTTGATGATGTCCCTAGGACACTGAGCAAAATGTCAGATATGGCATTGGTCATGCCTCTTTTTTTGGTTGATCTAGCAGTAGGGATTTTGGCAAATGTTAGTAGAGCACTAGGTTTAGTGTGGCTTGTTATTATTACCATTATTTGATTAGTGGAGATCTGGCTTTGAAGGAGTCGTGCTTTTTACCTTGTATTATTTGGTTTCTAATATATAGATAGGCTGATTGATTAAGATTTTGATTTTCTTTATGAGAAGTCACCAAAAGTTTTCCTGACACCTGTGGAAAAATGATGCAAAATGAATTGTAAAGTATGAGGCCTAAAAGTATTCAAAATGGTTGAAGGTGTCAGGTTGAAGGTCTTTTTTTTAAACTTTTTTTTGAGACGAAGTTTTGCTCTTGTTGTGCAGGCTGGAGTGCAATGGCACGATCTCGGCTCACTGCAACGTCCGCCTCCCGGGTTCAAGTGATTATCCTGCCTCAGCCTCCCAGTAGCTGTGATTACAGGCATATGCCACCACGCCCAGCTAATTTTTGTATTTTTAGTAGAGACGGGGTTTCATCATTCTGGTCAGGCTGGTCTCGAACTCCTGACCTTGTGATCTGCCCTCCTCGGCCTCCCAAAGTGCTGGGATTACAGGCATGAGCCACCGTGCCTGGCCTACTTGTTTTTAACATTTTAAGTTTTATATTTTAACATTTTAACATTTATATTAATTGTTTGTGATATCAGCATTAAAATGTAAAGATCTTGATTATTTCTAGCTGTGATAATCTCTTTTGGCAATGAGAGATGACAGATTTGCAGCTCTTTAGAGGTTTTTTTCCTTTTTTCTTTTTTCTTTTTTTTGAGGCATTGTCTCACTCTGTCACCCAGGATGGAGTACAGCAGTGCAATCTCAGATCACCTCAACCTCCGCCTCCTGGGTTCAAGCAATTCTCCTGCCTTAGCCTCTCGAATAGCTGGGATTACGGGCGCGTGACACTGTGCCCAGCTAATTTTTGTATTTTTATTATAGACAGGGTTTTGCCATGTTCCCCCGGCTGGTCTCGGATGCCTGAGCTCAAAGTGATCCACCCACCTCAGCCTCCCAAAGTTCTGGGATTATAGGCGTGAGCCACTGTGCCTAGCCGGGACAGTTTATTATTGATTTAGGGAAGTTCACATCTCACAGCTAAGACCAGTTGTAACTTGTGACTAAATCAAATGTCTTAATGTCTGAAATTTTCGAATTTTTTTTTTTCTTTTGAGATGGAGTTTTGCTGTTGTCAACCAGGCTGGAATGCAATGGTGCAATCTCGGCTCACTGCAACCTCCGCCTCCAAGGTCCAAGCGATTCTCCTGCCTCAGCCTCCCAAGTAGCTGGGATTACAGGCATGCAACACCATGCTCGACTAATTTTGTATGTTTAGTAAAGTTGGGGTTTCACTGTGTTGGTCAGGCTGGTCTCGGATTCTTGACCTCAGGTGATCCGCCTGCCATGGCCTCCCAACATGTAGAAATGACAGGCATGAGCCACCGTGCCCTGCATGAAATTTTAGAATTTTAACACATGTATTATGTATCTACCACATGCCAGATATTATGAATAAGGCTTTTGAGGCGTAACAACCATCAGAATATTCATTTCTTTAAGACTTAGATTTTTTCCTTCAGTGTTTAAAAAGAGTAAATGAGGCCAGGACGAGGTGGCTCACTCCTGTAATCCCAGCACTTTGGGAGGTCAAGACGAGTGGATCATCTGAGGTCAGGAGTTCGAGACCAGGCCAGCCAACATAGTGAAACCCCGTCTCTACTAAGAATACAAAAATTAGCCGGGCAAGGTGACACACGCCTGTAGTCCCAGCTACTCAGGAGAGTGAAGCAGGAGAATTGCTTGAACCTGTGAGGTGGGGGCTGTAGTGAGTTGAGATCATGCCATTGCACTCCAGCCTGGACAATAAGAGTGAAACTCCATCTCAAAAAAAAGAGTAAGTGATTTACTAGTGTTACTGAGATGTCAGTAGTATTTCAGTAGTCTTTGAGAGAGTTTTGCGCTCTGACAATTGGATAAATGTCAAACTATTAAAGGAAAATTTGGATATTTACATTCTTAAAATAAGTTGATTTATTTTCTTCCCCTTGTGTAAAAGATAGCTGAAAACCAGTTTTCAGTTATGATGCCTTTTTTTCAAAGAGAGAATTTGGTCCGTATACTTCAAGGGCATCTTTAGTCACTGAGTTTTATACCCCAAAATGTGAGCTGGTTTGTTTTCCCATAACTTGTATACCATGTTTGAAAACTTTCTCTGTGATTTGGAAATAGTGTGGGATTATTAAACTGTAGGCCCCATCATCATTGATGTTCATCCATTTATACTTCTTTCAGAAAGGTTAAGTGGTTTTGTGTTTTTCTTTCTCTTTTTTTTTTGAGATGGAGTCTCACTCTGTCGCCCAGGCTGGAGTGCAGTGGCCGGATCTCGGCTCACTGCAAGCTCTGCCTCCCTGGTTTATGCCATTCTCCTGCCTCAGCCTCCCGAGTAGCTGTGACAACAGGCACCCGCCACCTCGCCCGGCTAGTTTTTTTGTATTTTTTAGTAGAGACAGGGTTTCACTGTGTTAGCCAGGATGTTCTCGATCTCCTGACCTCGTGATCCGCCCATCTCGGCCTCCCAAAGTGCTGGGATTACAGGCTTGAGCCACCACACCCTGCCAGTTTGTGTTTTTCAAGAGAAGACATCTAATCATTTTCTATATTTTTGCCTCCATGTGCCTCATGGTATCAAGGATATTCCTTCTTTAGCTGTATTCTGTTATACCTTAATGTCTTTTCTGTTTTTTTTTTTGTTTTTTGAGATGGAGTCTGGCTCTGTTGCCCAGGCTAGAGTGCAGTGGTGTAATCTCGGCTCACTGCAAGCTCTGCCTCCCAGGTTCACGCCATTCTCCTGCCTCAGCCTCCCGAGTAGCTGGGACTACAGGCTCCCACCACCACGCCCGGCTAGTGTTTTGTATTTTTAGTAGAGACGGAGTTTCACTGTGTTAGCCAAGGATGGTCTTGATCTCCTGACCTTGTGATCCGCCCGCCTCAGCCTCCCAAAGTGCTGGGATTATAGGTGTGAGCCACCACGGCCAGCTAATGTCTTTTATTATTATTTTTAGACAGTCTTGCTCTGTCGCCTGGGCTGGAGTATAGTGGCACGCTCCCTGTTCACTGCAACCTCTGCCTCCCGGGTGCAATCAGTTCTCTTGCCTCAGCCTCCTGAGTAGCTGGGATTACAGGCACCTGCCACCATGGCCAGCTAGTTTTTGTATTTTAGTAGAGATGGGGTTTCCCCATATTGGTTAGGCTGGTCTTAAACTCCTGACCTCAAGCGATCCACCTGCCTTGGCCTCTGAAGGTGCTGGGATTACAGGCATGAGCCACCTCACCGGGCCACCCTTAATGTCTTATAGTCCGTCTATCAAAGAAAGAAGTATGGAGGACTTGAATCATTCAAAATATATATGTGCACATATGCCTGTGTGTTCACTAAGTTTTTTTTTTTTGAGACGGAGTTTTGCTCTTGTTGCCCAGGCTTGAGTGCAATGGCGCGATCTTGGCTCACTGCAACATTTGCCTCCTGGGTTCAAGGGATTCTCCCGCCTCAGCCTCCTAAGTAGCTGGGATTACAGGCATGTGCTACCACACCTGGCTAATTTGGTATTTTTAGTGGAGACAGGTTTTCTCCATGTTGGTCAGGCTGGTCTTGAACTCCCGACCTCAGGTGATCTGCCCGTCTCAGCCTCCCCAAGTGCTGGGATTACAGTCATGAGCTACCCCGCCTGGCCATGTTCACTAAGTTTTTAACTAAGCATTGTGCTGGTTACTAGGCTTCAGAAGTGTTAAACATGTCAGTACTTTGTCAATTTAGAAAACAAAACGAACTACTTTTCTGTATGCGAATTTGGCAAAGGATACTTCCAATATACCATTCTTCTCAGTGACTGGGAAAAAATTGGCAGGCATTATGCTAACGTGATTAGCTTTGTTATCTAATACTTAAATGAAACAAGTAGAAGTGGCTTTGTAGAGATTTTCATCTAATTAACTCGTTAAAATCAATTATTGAACTATCTTAAAGTAAAATGAGCAGCTTAATTCTTTATATTTAGTGAAGCTGATCTAAATAGAAGTTATTAATTTTTTGGAAAATCAGTATTTTAAGTATAAGAGAAATTAATTCAGTAGGGTTTTTTGCTATCTTATATCTTTACCCTATCTATGTTGTATTAGACCTATACATATTGTTAGCCAAATTATAATATTTTCATGTTAATGATTGTTTTTCACAGTTAGTGTGCGAGCAATAGAAATATTTTTTTTCTACTGAATAAATGGATGAAATTCTAATTTCTCTTTTCAGTGAATATTACTTCAGTGTAGAAAATTTGGAACGAGACTTCTTTCTTCGGGGAAAGATGGATGAACAAGGTTTCTTGCCTATTTCCCTGATTGCTGGTTTTCAGCGTGTTCAGGCTCTCACTACAAACCTTAATCTCATCTTAGAGGTAATTGCTCATTTGAAGAACAGTTTGTACTTTCCACTCAAATTTCCTTTGTACCTAAAACTTCTCTAAAAAACAGAATATTAAAAACAGACAATCTGTAGTTGCTTGAGGCTCAGACAGCGTTCCATGACGTTTTTCTGTTTTGTAAAACCTTCATAAATGTCTAACCTTGGAAAACCCTGAAAGTATTGCTAATGTTGTTACTACATATTTTCTCCTTCCCCTCCCCCTCAATTAGTCAACCTATTTTAAACCTGATCCTTCAAACTTTAACCCTTTTGAACATTCTTGGTCCTTAAAACTTCTTCAGGGCTGGGCGTGGTGGCTCACGCCTGGGCAATAGAGTGCAACAACACAATCAAACAAAAATTTCTTTAGGTTACTGTAAAAAAGCATGTGTTCCCATATATATTTATATATAGATATATAATATAGATATTATCTATTTATATATATAATATATTATTATTATATAAATATATAATATATATTTATTTTATATAAATATATAATATATATTTATTATTTTATATAAATATATATTTATTATGTATAAAATATATAATATATATTTATTATGTATAAAAGTATATAATATATATTTATTATTATGTATATAAATATATAATATATATATATTTTTCAGACAGTCTCACTCTGTTGCCCAGGCTGGAGTGCAGTGGCACGATCTCAGCTCACCACAACCTCCACCTCCCGGGTTCAAGCGATTTTGCTGCCTCAGCCTCCTGAGTAGCTGGGACTACAGGCACGCACCATCATGCCTGGCTACTTTTTGTATTTTAGACTTGGCTTCACTATCTTGGCCAGGCTGGTCTCAAACTCCTGACCTCATGATCCACCCACCTCCGTCTCCCAAAATACTGGGATTGCAGGTGTGAGCCATCATGCCCAGCCGTTCCCACTTATTGAAAGGCTAATTTAAAATAGTCCTTCTGGCTGGGCATGGTGGCTCATGCCTGTAATCCCAGCACTTTGGGGAAAAAAAAAATCTCTCATCTGGCCTGTTTCTAGAAATACTTTCAACATCTTTTTTTTTTTTTTTCTAGCCAGTTTCTTTCCCTACACACAGCCCTTGGTAACCACAATCACTAATCTGCTTTTTTTTTTTTTTTTTTGAGACAGGGTCCTATTGTGTTGCCCAGTATGGAATGCAGTGGGACAATCTTGGGTCACTGCAACTTCCACCTCCCAGGTTCAAGTGATTTTCCTGCCTCAGCCTCCCAAGTAGCTGGGATAACTGGAGTGTGCCACCATACCCAGCTAATTTTTGTATTTTTAGTAGAGACAGGGTTTCCCCATGTTGGCCAGGCTGCTCTTGAACTTCTCTGACCTCAGGTGATCCACCTGCCTTGGCTTCCCAAAGTGTTGGGGTTATAGATGTGAGCCACCACGCCTGACCACTAGTCTACTTTTTATCCCTATAGTTCTATAGTTTTGCATTTTCCAGACTATCATAAAATTTTAGAAGTTGTAGCCTTTTGTTTCTGATTTTTCACTTAGTATAGTGCTTTTGAGATTCACCTATGTTGCATGTAGCAGTAGTTTGTTCTTTCATATTACTGACTAGTATTCCATGGTGTGGATATACCACAGTTCATCCATTCACATGTTGGTGGACATTCAGATTGTTTATGGTTTTGGAGAGTATGAGTAAAGCATGAAGATCTTTATAGGGATATATATATTTCTGTTGGATAAATAGTATTGTGATTGCTGGAAAGTATAGTAAGTATATGCTTATCTTTATAAGAAAATGCCAACCTATTGTTTAAAGTGACTTTACCATTTTGCATTCCTACCATTATGTGTGGGACTTGTTCCTCATGGCTTATATTGTCAGTTTTTTGAATAATAGATATGTAGTGGTTTCTCATCGTGGGCTTTTTTTGTTTGTTTTTTTTTTGGACAAAGTTTCAGTTTTGCTCTTGTTGCCCAGGCTGGAGTGGAGTGCAATGCCATGATCTTGGCTCACTGCAACCTCTGCCTCCTGGGTTCAAGCAGTTCTCCTGCCTCAGCCTCCCAAGTATCTGGGATTATAGGCACCTGCCACCACGCTGAGCTAATTTTTTATATTTTTAAGAGAGATGAGGTTTCACCATGTTGGCCAGGTTGGTCTCAAACTCCTGACCTTCAGGCAACCCATCTGCCTTGGCCTCCCAAAGTGCTGGGATTACAGGCGTGAGCTACTGTACCTGGCCTCTCATTGTGTTTTTTTGTTTGTTTTTTGAGACAGTCTCTCTCTGTTGCCCAGGCTGGAGTTCTGTGGTGTGATCTTGGCTCACTGCAACCTCTGTCTCCTGGGTTCAAGTGATCCTCCTGCCTCAGCCTCCCAAGCAGCTGGGACTACAGGCACACACCACCACGCCCATCTGACTTTTGTGTTTTTAGTAGGGATGAGGGTTTCACCATGTTGGCCAGGATGGTCTTGATCTCTTGACCTTGTGATCTGCCCGCCTCAGCCTCCCAAAGTGTTGGGATTACAGGCATGAGCCACTGTGCCTGGACTCATTGTGGTTTTAATTTGCATTTCCCTAGTGATTAAAGCTGTCAGCATATTTTCATGTGCTTTTTTATCTGCATACCTTATTAGTGGAAATGTCTGTTCAGATTTTTTGTTCATTATTATTGAAGTGTTTTTTAAAAGATAATTGTATGAGTTCTTTATTCTGGATACAAGTCCATTATATGTATTTTGCAAATTTTTTTTCCTAGTTTTTGTCTTTTCATTTTCTTTTCTTTTTTTTCTTTTTTGAGACAGTCTTGCTCTGTCACCCAGGCTGGAGTGTAATGGTGTGATCTTGGCTCACTGCAACCACCGTTTCCCGGGCTCAAGCGAGTCTCCTGCCTCAGCCTCCTGAGGAGCTGGGATTACAGGCACCTGCCACCATGCCCGGCTAATTTTTGTATTTTTTAGTAGAGACAGGGTTTCACCATGTTGCAGGCTGGTCTCGAACTCCTGACCTCAGGTGATCCACCTGCCTTAACCTCCCAAAGTGCTGGGATTACAGGAATGAGCCATTGTGCCCACCCTCATTTCTTAACAGGCTTCTTTGAATAGCAAGTTTTTGAACACATTTGTGCTTCCTATTTTAAAAATCAACTATGGGGCTGGGCGCGGTGGCTCACACCTGTAATCCCAGCACTTTTGGAGGCCAAGACGGGTGGACCACTTGAGGTCAGGAGTTTGACACCAGCTTGGTCAACATGGTCAAACTCTGTCTCTACTAAAATACAAAAATTAGCCAGATGTGGTGATGTGCCTGTAATCCCAGCTATTCGGGAGGCTGAGACAGGAGAATTGATTTTACTATAGTAAAATCCATGTTTTAAAAACAACATAAAATAATGATTTGTTGGTGTATAATTAATGGTTCTTGGTTTCATGAAAATAATTACTGTCAGCAATGTCATTATTGCATTTGTTTATAGATAGGTATGTAAGGTTTCTATATATTGTAATTAACAGAGAAAATTAGTTTTTTTTTTCCAAATTTGTTCTTAGAGCAAATATTATGATTCATAGTAGAATGAGTTTGTTTATTTATTTATTTATTTTCATTTTTTAGTAGAGATGGAGTTTCACCATGTTGGCCAGGCTGGTCTCCAACTCCTGGCCTTAAGTGATCTTCCTGTTTCAGCTTCCCAAAGTGCTGAGATTACAGGCGTGAGCTACTGTCCCCGGCATTAGAATGAGTTTATTAACTGCTGCCATTGTGCTATAGCAAAGGTCCAACTCAGCTGCCATTTTTTATGAAGTTGTTGCCATTTTTTCCCTGTCTACTTCTGTACGAATATAGTTGTAATTTTATTATTGTATGCCTTTTTGGTCTGTTTGTAGTCCCATTAAATCCTCAAGCACAATTTTAAGATCATTGACGTTTTGTTTTTACAACCTACAACAGTTAGGAAGGATTTTTAAAAGGAAACTTTTGAGCTGCTGTTATGTTAGCACTGATACAGTAGCTAATGATACAGTAAAAAATACCACTATTGAAAAGCAGAAACATGTAAACATAGCAATTTAGAAGAACTTAAGTCTGCATTCATTTAACATTCATTATGCACCTACCATTTGTAATAGTAGGAAAGGTGTTCTTTTTCTGTTAAGAAACTGAGGCTTCATTATGCATTGCAGTGTAAAGATACTAAGGTCATGGACCTATGAATATGTCCCTTATAGTTCTGTGACTATGGTCAGTGTCCTGAGACAATAATATATACTTCCTAGGGTTGTTGTGAGGATGAATTGTATTAATGAAAGTATCTGCCAAAGGTAGTAAGCTCTAAATAAGTAAACATTTGCTATTATTGTTAGTCTTAAATGATGTCTTTCTGTTGTTAACTCCTTTATCTTCATGCATTTCATTTCTACCGTCTTCTTCCTGTATGTATTTGAATATGCTGAAGGTTTTCCTTTCTTGAAAAAAACTCGAGAGAAGCAAAATACTTTAGCTGGTACCTGTATCTGCCCTGGTTAAATATGCATACGCAAACCAAACTGGTTGAATCTGATTCTTCTCCACTCATTTATTTTTTAGCTTACTGCATTCTTGATGTCTTCCCTGTAATTGAAAGCTTTTTGTGTCTTCCATTTATTAGAACAAATTGATCCTGGTTCTATAGCTTACCAGTTGTATAACTAAGTAATTGACATAACATCTTCATGCTTCAATTTTCTTGTTAAAATTTAGGAAATAATACTTAAGCTATAATAGAGTATGAGGATTGAGAGGAATAATTAATATAATATCAGCCTCAGAACTGTACCTGCTACTTTCATCTCAAACCTTGTTTTCTAAATTGTCTGAACTTGTGGTTCCTCAGAACTTGTGCTCTTTTCTTTTTATCTCCAGGTCTTTGCACATTCAAGTCTTCCTTTACTACCAGGCAGTGAGAATGCAACATCTATGTATTCCAGCATTGGTAGTTATTCATAATAGTAGGTGTGTATCATTAAGAAAAGGATCAAAATTAATAGCTAAGTCAGATAAAACCTCAGATACTGGAAAATATTTATGTACCCAGTAACTCATTGTTTAGGAGTTCAGGATTACCAAGGCTTGGTTTTTAATAAAAATATGTGTAACTCTGTTTCTTCTCGTCTTTACCTTAATTTTGTGCATGGTGTAGTTTCTATATGATCCTTTTAAGGCCTGAGTGATGAATGTTTCACTTTCTGTGTTCTTCACTTCCCTTTTAAATTTATTATTTTTAAATAGGAAATAAATTACACAAAATTCAAAACTCAGAAGGTTATATGGTTATCTTCCAGTGATTGTCCAAGGAAAAAAAGGGTATATGGTAAAACATTTTTTTCCCATTTTTCACCAACAGTGAATGAGTTACCTGCCTTGGTAGTGGTCAGTGTTACTTCTTTCTTGAGTCTTCCTCCTGAGATAGTTGGTTTATATAAGAGAATACTATGATACCTTACTATATACAATGTTTGTTATGCCCCTTCCTCTTTTTTTTTATTTTTTGAGACAGAGTCTCACTCTGTCACCCAGGTTGGAGTGCAGTGGCACAATCTTGGCTCACTACAACCTCTGCCTCCCGGGTTCAAGCAGTTCTTCTGCCTCAGCCTCCTGAGAAGCTGGGATTACAAGCCCCTGCCACCACGCTCAGCTAATTTTTGCATTTTAGTAGAGACGGGTTTTTGCCATGTTTTCCAGGCTGGTCTGGAACTCCTGACCTCAAATGATCTGCCTGCCTCGGCCTCCCAAAGTGCTGGGATTACAGGTGTGAGACACCGTGCCCGGCCTCCTCTTTTTTATTTTTTATAAAAAGCATGTGTTGGAAGAGGCTTTAGTAGCTGTACATAAAGAACTTTGAGCTTTTTCATCCCACAAGTTTTTCCTTAAATATTTTATTTTAAATTGAGGCCTAATTTATACATTATTATTATTTTATTTATTTTTTTCGAGACGGAGTCTCGCTCTGATGACTGGGTTGTAGTGCAGTCGGGCAATCTTGGCTCACTGCAACTTCTGCCTCCTGGCTTCAGGTGATTCTCCTGCCTCAGCCTCCTGAGTAGCTGAGATTATAGGTATTCGCCACCACACCTGGCTAATTTTTGTATTTTTAGTAGATACGGGGTTTCACCATATTGGTCAGGCTAGTTTCGAACTCCCGACCTCATGATCCACCTGCCTCAGCCTCCCGAAGTGCTGGAATTACAGGCGTGAGCCACCATGCCTGGCCTTTATACATTACATATTGTAACTCATAAGATTAGAGATGATATTTTTTCCTATGTATACGGTCAGGTAACTGCCATCCAGATTAAGATATAGAACATTTTCAAGACCCAAGCAAGCCGCCTTCTGTACCCTCCTAGTCAGTACCACTGCTCTCCCTTTTAAGAGGCCTCTCTCCTGTTTTTTGAATTTCACATAAAGGGTGTTATGACTTTTATATCTGATTTTATTTCTGAAGTTATTTCTGTGAGATTTATTCATATTGGTGTATAGCAGTTGTTTACTTTCTGTTTTTTGGTAGTTTTTCCATTGTACGAATAAAGCAGTTAATCTTTTCTTTTTTTCTTCTCTTTCTTTTCTTTTCTTTTTTTTTTTTTTTTTTTGAGACTGATCTCACTCTGTGGCCCAGGCTGGAGTTATATTGACCTGATCTCACTCTGTGGCCCAGGCTAGAGTTATACTGACCTGATCTTAGCTCACTGCATCTTCCACCTCCCAGGTTCAAGCGATTCTCCTGCCTCAGCCTCCCGAGTAGCTGAGATTACAGGCACCCACCACCAAGCTTGGCTAAGTTTTTGTATTTTTAGTAGAGACAGGGTTTCACCATGTTGGCCAGGCTGGTCTCGAACTCCTGATCTCAGGTGATCCAGCTGCCTCGGCCTCCCAAAGTGCTGGGATTACAGGCTTGAGCCACCATGCCCAGCAACAGTTAATTTTTCTGTGTAGATACTGCTAAACGTTTTTTTAAAGTATCGAACCAATCAAAACTACCACTATTAGGAATTTGACTTGCTTCACTAGAAAACAACACTATTGGCAGTCTTTTTCCACAACTTTACTTTGGAAAATTTAAACATATGGGAAAGATTCGAGGAATTTTTTTTTTTTTTTAACATTCAGGGATAGATAACATATGGTAAAATATAGCGATCTTAGGTGTTCACTGTGAGTTTTGAAAATTAAACATAAGCATTACCCCAAACAAGATGTAGAATACTTTCATTATTCTAAAAACTTCCTTCATGGCTCTTTCTAGTCAGTTTCACACAGCCTCTCCAACAACTTTTCTGATTTTCATATCATAGATTAGATTAGTCTGTTCTTGGCATTTGTATAAATTGACTTCTGTCTCTGGGTTCTTTTCATTGGTAGTGTTTGACATTCATCCATGTCGTTGCATGGTCTGGATGCTGGGCATACTGTTTGCTACTGGGGCGTCATTGCTTCTAGGTCTTTCAGTGGACAAAAGGAGGAAAATATATGTTGGGAAAAATATACTGATTTTACTCATTTAAAGCTTTCACCATAGGATTCTTTCCTATCTTTCTCCATTTTATATTTCAGACTCCCTTCTCAAAGGAGTTTCATTTAAAATAAGTCCTAATTGTAATTTAAAGAAATGCCCAGCTATGGCTGGGCACGGTGACTCACCCCTGTAATCCCAGCACTTTGGGAGGCCGAGGCAGGTGGATCACGAGGTCAGGAGTTCAAGACCAGCCTGGCCAACTTGTTGAAACCCCGTCTCTACTAAAAGTCCAAAAAACTAGCTGGGTATGGCGCCTGTGATCCCAGCTACTTGGGAGGCTGAGGCAGAGAATTGCTTGAACCTGTGAGGTGGAGGTTGCGGTGAGCCGAGTTCACACCACTGTACTTCAGCCTGGGTGACAGAGCGAGACTGTTTCAAAAAATAAAAATAATAATAAAAAAGAAATACCCAGTTATGGAAAATATAACTTGAGAGTTAAGTACCATACTAATATTAAGAGCAAGAGTATGTTCTTTTTTCAAAATCTGTTCATTTCTGAATGGATAATATTATATTTTTTTGTTTTTTTTGAGATGGAGTCTTGCTCTGTCTCTGGGCTGGAGTCCAGTGGCGTGAGCTCGGCTCACTGCAACCTCTGACTCCCTGGTTCAAGTGATTATCCTGCCTCTGCCTCCCATATAGCTGGGATTACAGGCACGTGCCACCATGCCCAGCTAATTTTTGTATTTTTAGTAGAGATGGGGTTTCACCATATTGGCCAAGATGGTCTCGATCTCCTGACTTCATGATCCACCTGCCCCGGCCTCCCAAAGCATTGGGATTACAGGCGTGAGCACCTCGCCCGGTTAATGTTCTTAATTATATACAGCATGTTCTCTAACTAAAATGTAGTGGGCTTTAATTTTTATAAGTTAATGTACATATAACTTTGTATTGTTTTTATATTATACATTTTGTATTTATCCTAATTTCTAAAAACTCCTGTACTTCAGTGAGAAGTTAAATCAGTAAGGCTTTAGTTTGTATCTTGAAGAGATTTTGGCCTAGTTTTGTTTTATCCTTAAATTATAGTACATATTGGGGAGGCATCATAGCCTAACGCCTAAGACTTTTAGTTGCAGATAGATAATGGTTTGAGTCCTGGTGTTGTCTCATACTAGATCTATGATCTTCGATTAAGTTTATTTCTTTGAGCCTCAGTTTCCTCATCTATATGTAGGGGTGATACCTTCTTTGTGAGGTATTGTGAGGAATCATGAGTACATGTAGTACTTATTATTCAATAAATTGTGGTAATTATTACAATAATAAAATGCCTAAATTTTATTTGGTGATATTTTAATGGAAGACAAGGAAATATGAGAGAGAGAAGAAAATAGCAAAAGTCAATTTGCTTCTAGCTGATTCAGTATTCCTTAAATGACTATTCTAATTGTGAAAAATTTATCATCTGAAGTTAAATTTAAGTGGGAGATCCAGGATATTTGTTACTTTACAGGCACAAATGATTTTAAAACTTGTTGTGTTCTATGTAGTTATGGATTGTTTAGAATCGTTAACTGCAAATTAGTTTGCTAATTTCAGATTTTCAAATTTTTAGGTTCTTAGAAGTATAGCATAGGCAGTGAAATAGCTCATAATTTTAATAGCTCAATTTCTGTTAATAGGCACTGAAGGATAGCACAGAAGTAGAAATTGTGGATGAGAAAATGAGAAAAAAGATAGAACCAGAAAAATGGCCAATTCCAGGCCCTCCTTCACGCAATGTGCCACCAACAGACTTCTCTCAACTGATTGATTGTCCAGAGTTTGTACCAGGCCAAGCCTTTTGCTCACATACAGGTAACATCTTTTCTTCTAGAGCAAACGATGTAACAGTGGGTTATTTGGTCCAGTTTACTTACTTACTTATTTATAGTTTATTTAGATTTGATAGGAAAATTAAAGCTAACTGAAGGACTTTTGATGTCCCATTTTGTATTCATATTGCCTCACTCACAGAGGTATAAATTAAGGATTTAAGAATTATGAGGAAAGCTGTCTTATGTTTCTTGTTCTTAAATTACATGTGTACTTTGTCATGTATGGAGTTTCTTCCTTTTATTTTTACTAAATAACTGTAGATATATATCCTGTTTTCCCCTGTAAAATTGTAATAGTATGATTGGATTATTCTAGAAAGGTCTTATACTCAAGAGTGGGGTAGTCTTCCTTTAATTTTGTTACCAATGTGCTTTAATCTTGTCTTGGAAAGATAAGATGACCTACATTCTAAATCAGAATTGGGATTCTCTTTAATTTGGTTGTGTTTAGAATTTCCAACAGCTTTAATGTTAATAATTTTTTCCTGGATCATTTTTAAGACATTCCCTCTTGGGAAAAAATGTGTGCTTAAACTTTTTTCAGTCAGGGTGATGATCTTCTGAAGCTCTTGGATGTCATTTGATCGGAATATGCAGTGGAATAGGTGACTCACTGAAATGCCATTATAAATACTGGAACAAATCCTGCTGCAAAAATGAAAGCGATCAGACTGTCTTCTGTTCAAGAATGTCTATTCCCACCTCCTGGTGGAGGAAGTTGGGCCAACACTGCAGTGGAGATAACCACCTTTGCGATAATGAGAGACAGACCAGAGGACTGCTACTCTTTTTATAGGAGCTGCCTATTTCTGTGTGATTGGCCTGGGCTGCATGGGCTGCTTTTATTCATGGTGGGAAAGTTAATTATTATTATTCTGGAAATACTGCAAGAGTATGTTTTCTGTTTCCAGGGTTATGTACTTGTGTCCAGATTAATAAAGCAGAAAAAGGGGATTGAGTAGCATTTCCCAGATTCTTAAGTACTTTGTTATTTGATTTGCCTTTCAGTGTAGTGTACATTGCAAAACTCAGATATTGTCATGATGTTTCACTTGGACATAAGACTTATTAATGTGGACACTTAAGGGGTAAGGAATTTAAGAACTGGATGAGGGTATTTCTTTCTTTACTCTTCAAAATGTATTTTTGATACATCAATATGAGAGAACGTCCCATCAACAAAGCATCGATGATGGGCAGTCTCACAGTATTTTTATCTTATGTTTCTTTGTCAGGCTTCTGCTTCTAATTCCAGTAAGCAACTTGGACAGGCATTTTAAAAGCTGAAGAAAAGTGACATTATTTTAGCTAGTGATTTTTAATTTATTTTTTGTTAAGATATAGTGAGTGATTAAATAAGTTAGATTTATTTATTGTATCAACTTGGGTCCAAGATGATAGTTTTAGCCAACTTGTGAACAGGCATTGGGTAAGTTAGATGAAATAACATATACTTTCTCTATAGGGTAGGTAAGATAGGTCAGTCAAGTTGGTAATGACTGTCCATCAACCATTTATGCATACTAATAAAATTATAAGAATAAAATCATAATGTCTTGTACATTTTTGTGTTTTTTATATACACTCAGATGCATGCACATACATATTGTCTGAAACAAGCCAGTATATATTCAAATGTCATACATTTTAGGTTCTTTAGATTACATATCAGCAACTAGATGATTAATGAAGAAATATAGAAAGATGGAGGGTTCTTAGAATTATACTGATTCACATTAGGTCATAGGAATAAATATGTAAATCACCTCTTTCCATGAATTCCCAAATTTCTCACCTTAATAATTTCCTAGTGATAAGAAAGCCTAGTTTCTTTAAGTCAATGGGGAGTAGTATGTCACCAAAAATTTGAAGTGGAAATAGGGATAAGAAGCATAGACTGTGTTTATATGTATCTATGGGTAGAGAAAAGTAGTGAAACTATATGTCATTTTAATCTCAAATTTGAAGACCTTAAAAATTTGAACGACATAACTCTTTATGATTTGGGAGGGATTTGTATAGTAAAATATTCTAACATAATTGGTCTTCTTCATCAAAGAGATTAAAATTTCTATTTTTTTTTTCCTATCTGGAGGTTGAATTTTCTAATAGGGGTTGAACTGAGCAGAAGTCTACCTTTATGCACCACAAAACATTGATTATGGGAATGGTAAGATTACTTCTGAAACAGGTTTTGCAGTTTTATGGATATTGTTAGTATTGTACTATTAACTTTTAAATGAAAGGATTTCATTCATCAAAATTGAAAGGTCAGGTACCTGACAATGTTTTTTTTTTTTTTCTTTTTTTAAATTTTAATAATCTTCACAAGTGCACTGTAATGTAGTGTTTTTCTTTCTTTTTTTTTTTTTTTTCCTTTGACTCTTAACACCACTCAATGAGAATTTTAAAAAGTGCCACACTTAAAATATGTAATCCCTTTTTCAGGAAACCTGTTTAATTACCCAGAAATGTGATCCTCCCAAGGTAGAAAAAAAACATACCAGAGATGAAATGTATATGGTGATTTATCTTTGGAGAGTTTAGTTGATAATTTTCTTTCCTTTTTTTTTTTTTTTTTTTTTTGTTGAGACAGAGTCTTGCTCTGTCGTGCAGGGGCTGGAGTGCAGTGGCGCAATCATGGCTCACTGCAGCTTCTGCCTTCTGGGTTCAAGCAGAAGGCTCTTGCCTCAGCCTCCTGAGTAGCTGGGATTACAGGTGCGCGCCACCATGCTTTGCTAATTTTTGTATTTTTAGTAGAGACGGGATTTCACCATGTTGGTCAGGCTTGTCTTGAACTCCTAACCTTGTGATCAGCCCACCTCAGCCTCCTAAAGTGTTGGGATTACAGGCATGAGCCACCATGCCCAGCCACTGATAATTTTCAGTTAATAAAAGCAGCAAAGATAAATTTTCTGTGTTCTTACAAATTATAACAAGTATTCAATATATGTATCTAATTTGTTTTTTGTTTTTAAGTAAGTTTAATATCAGGTAATCTAAGTCATTTAAACTCATTTTGTCTTGGAAGATTAGGGGTTTACTGTTACCCTTAATCTGTTCAGATGTATAGTTTGAAATCTTCATTATCTAAAAAAAAGATGCAGAAGACCGCACAGAGCATATGTATAAATTAATTATTATGAGGTTAACACCTTTACAAGTCTTATTCTAAGAATTGCATGTTTTCTCATCTTACCCAAATTCTTTAGTGTTTTAATGTCATTTCATTTCTAAGCATATGTGTTGTGAATATATTGAAATGCTTTACTTCCCAGTAGAAGCATAATTCAAGCTTAAATAACATTTAGAGATCATTTTATAAGAAACAGCTGAGTGTTGTGGCATACACCCGTAGTCCCAGCTACTCGGGAGGCAAAGTTGGGAGGATGCTTGAGCCCAGGAGTTCGAGGCCAGACTGGGTGACATACCAAAAACTCATATATATATATATGTGTGTGTATATATATATATTTTTTGTTAGAGATGGTGTCTTGCTCTGTTGCCCAGGCTGGAATGCAATGGCATGATCTCTGCTCACTGCAGCCTCCGCCTCCCAGGTTTAAGCAATTCTCCTGCCTCGGCCTCCTGAGTAGCTGGGACTACAGGTGTGTGCTGCCACGCCTGGCTATTTTTTTGTATTTTTAGTAGAGACGGAGTTTCACCATGTTGGTTAGGCTAGTCTCGAGAACTCCTGACCTCAGGTGATCCACCTGCCTTGGCCTCCCAAAGTTCTGGGATTATAGGCATGAGCCACCATGCCCAGGTCTTCGTCTACTTTTAAGGCTTTATTTAGTATGAACATTGATAATTCATAGTATTAGAAATAAGAGTTCTCTGGGCCAGGTGCAGTAGCTCATGCCTATCATCTCAGCGCTTTAGAGATTGAGGTGAGAGGATCGCTTGAGACCAGTTCAAGACTAGCCTGGGTAACAAAGTGAGACCCAGTCTACAAAATATATATATTTTTAAATTGGCTGGGCATGGTGGTGTGTACCTGTAGTCCTTGTTATTCAGCAGGCTGGGTTGGGAGGATTGCTTGAGCCCAGGAGTTGGAGGCTATAGTGAGCATTACCATGGCACTGTACTGCTGTAAGGGGCCCTGTCTCTCTCTCTTTTTTTTTTTTTGAGACGAAGTCTTGTTCTTGTCCCCGAGGCTGGAGTGCAGTGGCGTGATCTCGGCTCACTGCAACCTCTGCCTCCCAGGTTCAAGTGATTCTCCTGCCTCATCCTCCCGAGTAGCTGAGATTACAGGCGCCTGCCACCACGCCTAGCTAATTTTTTTATTTTTTATTTTTATTTTTTTAGAGAGACGGGGTTTCACCATGTTGGCCAGGCTAGCCTTGAACTCCTGACCTCAGATGATCCGCCCGCCTTGGCCTCCCAAAGTGCTGGGATTATAGGCGTGAGTCACCGCGCCCTGGCCTCTGTCTCTTAAAAAAAAAAAAATTAAGTCTCTTGTATGGTTCATGAAAAAGGAAAAAAAAAAGTGTTCTCTGGAGTTAATATTTTTCCCATTCCTATAACTAGACTATTAATGTTCATCCAAAGCATGTATTTCACTTGTACTTTTTTTGTGAATGAATTGGTGATACATGTGTTGTTAATAAAGTTATAGAGCACCAGTGTCCAATGAAAATGTGAGCCATATATATAACTAAAAATTTTAGTATTCTTAAAATTATAAAACAGTTGAAATTAATTTTAATATTTTAAATAAATATTTTAATGTAACTTAATAGATCCATTTATTTTTGAGATGGAGTCTTGCTCTGTCTCCTAGGTTGGAGTAGAATGTCGCGATCTCGGCTCACTGCAACCTCTGCCTCCTTGGTTCAAGGGATTCTCCTGCCTCCCAAGTAGTTGGGATTATAGGCACCCACCACCACGCCTGGCTAGTTTTTGTATTTTTAGTAGAGATGGGGTTTTGCCATGTCAGACAGGCTGGACTCCAACTCCTGACCTTAGGTGATCTACCCGCCTTGGCCTCCCAAAGTGCTGGGATTACAGGGGTGAGCCACCACGCCCAACTGTGCCTACTCTGTTGCACAGCACAGTTCTAGAGCTTTTCCTGTTATGAAACAAATATATAGTCTTCTATAAATAATACAGTAATCTAGTAGTTGAGTCCTGGTTGAGTCCATGTGTCCAAGGGGGAAGATTTTAAAGCTTTTACTCTTATCTATGTCTAGCATGTAGATGAATGTAAAATCTTGAAATACTCTTCTTAAATCCATTCTTGAAATGTGCCTTTCATTTAGTAAATATTAAAAAAAAGATTGCTGGTGTTAATTTATATCAGCTTTCTGCATCTAACATTTAACTTCTCCATATTGTCAATGAATTGACTTAGAGAAGTTAATGATGTTAAGAATTTTATGGTATACATTTTTGAAAAATAAATTTTATTGTGTATATTTGAGACTTACAACCTAATGGTAGAGATTACATTTTTTAAAGGCACCTTGTGTCCAAAGCAAGTTCATATTGCATCTTCAGACCTGAACCTGAATGTGGCTTAAAATACTTAAATACTCTGACTTTTGAAAAAATATTTATAAAAGAAGCCATTTGATTTTTTTTTTTTTTCTGAGACAGAGTGTCGCTTTGTCGCCCAGGCTGGAGTGTGGATCTCAGCTCACTGCAACCTCCACCTTGTGGATTTAAGCAATTTTCTGCCTCATCCTCCTGAGTAGCGGGAATTACAGGCACCCACCACCAGGCCTGGCTAATTTTTTTGTATTTTTAGTAGAGACGGGGTTTCACCATATTGGCCAGGCTGGTCTTGAACTCCTGACCTTGTGATCCACCTGCCTCAGCCTCCCAAACTGCTGGAATTACAAGCGTGAGCCACCGTGCCCGGCTACAATTTGAGTTTTATAATTTTGATTAAAAATAAACCTACAGAAGTGTACTGTATAGAAAGACATTTTAAATTCCAACAGCTTTTAAATGCTTTTAATGCCAGGGCTGTGTGCATTAAGGATGTAGTGATGTGACATTTACTCTTTTTTTTTTTTCGAGATGGAATTTGGCTTTTGTTGCCCAGGCTGGATTGCAATAGCGCCATCTCAGCTCACTGCAACTTCCGCCTCGCAGGTTCAAGCGATTCTCCTGCGTCAGCCTCCTGAGTAGCTGGGATTACAGGCATGCGCCACCACGCCCGGCTGATTTTCTATATTTCGTAGAGATAGGGTTTCTCCATGTTGGTCAGGCTGGTCGACATTTTACTCTTTAAAGTATTTCAGTATGAGCCAAAGTAGTAAATGACTACACTGCATTTATTGCAGTAGGCAAACCTTGTTGAGCCAAGGAAATGTGAAAACTAGGAATAATAACGGCTTTAGTTTAGACCCTAGTAGAACAAGAGACTAATTTTATCTTGAATAAGATGTGCATTTAGCTTAACTATGGCTTAATAGCAATTGAGATTCCATAATTTCCTTATAATTTATAGATTTTAATCTGAGATTTTTCAGAGAACTTGACTTCCTAATAGTTGTACTGTCATAATTAGGAAGTGAATCACATTGATATTCTTGAGAAGTTTGCGTGAATGTAGTGGTCTATGTAAGAGTTGGTGACATTCCTTTAATTATTCAATGGTTTCACTTTTTAGTAAATCTTCAGGTTTGAAAATCACTGGAAACCTTACAGTTGAGACTGATCATGCTTTTGTGAAAAAATATCAAGCCCCATTTAAGGAAAAAATGAAGTGTATTTTATAAGTAAGAAAAGCCATTATCATTTTAACTATAGAACTAACTTAAAATTTTAGAGTCTGCCCCAAATTCTCCAAGAATTGGAAGCCCATTGAGCCCAAAGAAAAATAGCGAAACAAGTATTCTTCAAGCAATGTCTAGAGGTTTGTCCACCAGTTTGCCTGACTTGGACTCAGAACCTTGGATAGAAGTTAAAAAGAGACATCAGCCAGCACCAGTGAAATTGAAGGTAAGTTGTTACAGACTGAGTGAAGTGTGACATACCCTGGGTGGAGTATAAGGTCAGTGCATTTTATGTTTGTTAGGTGCATATGTAAAATTTGGAAAAGTTTAGCAAAGTTTTAAATTTGTGATTGTTGGCCTTCAGTAGACACTTATGGGTTATTCTATGAGGAAAATAAGTTGTATCAAGTTTCAAAGTGTATTTTTTTTTTTTTTTTTTTTGAGATGGAGTTTCGCCCTATCACCCAGGCTGGAGTGCAGTGGTGCGATCTCGGCTCACTGCCCCCTCTGCCTCCCGGGTTCAAGCGATTCTCCTGCCCCAGCCTCCTGAGTAGCTGGGATTATAGGCATGAGCCACCACGCCTGGCTAATTTTTGTATCTTTAGTAGAGACGGGGTTTCACCATGTTGGTCAGGCTGGTCTTGAACTCCTGACCTCGTGATCCACCTGCCTCAGCCTCCCAGAGTGCTGGGATTAGAGGCGTGACCCACCACGCCCGGCCTTAAAGTGTATTTTTTATTTCTGAACATGATTTAAGAATTTTGGAGCCTGGGCACAGTGTCCCATTCCTGTAATCACAGCACTTTGAGAGACCGAGGCAGGAAGATTGCTTGAGCCTAGAAGTTCGGGGCCACCTGGGCAACATAGGGTGACCCTGTCTCTACAAATAATTCAAAAAATTAGCTAAATGCCAATTTTTTGGTGGAATGTGCCTGTGGTCTCAGCTACTTAGGAGGCTGAGACAGGAGGAACACTTGAGCTCAGGAGGTCAAGACTGCAGTGAGCCATGATCATACCACTGCACTCCAGGGAGGGCAACAAAGTGAGGTCCTATCTCAAAAAAAAGAACGAATTTTGTCTTGGTTTTTCTACTTGTGACTAATTTTAACTTGAATAATATTTCAGTTTTTTATAAAGTTGAAAAAAATATGACTTTTTTTTTTTGGAGACAGAGTCTCGCTCTGTCGCCCAGGCTGCAGTGCTGTGCTGCGAAGTTGGCTCACTGCAGCCTTTGCCTCCTGGGTTCAAGACAGTCTTGTGCCTCAGCCTCCTGAATTACTGGGATTACAGGCTCACTCTACCATGCCCAACTATTTTTTTGTGTGTTTCTGGTGCAGACGGGATTACACCATATTGCCCAGGCTGGCCTCAAACTCCTGTCCTCAAATAATTCGCCTGCCTTGGCCTCCCAGAGTGCTGGGCTTACAGGCGTGAGCCTCTGCAGCCTGGCCAGAAAATATATAAATTTTGAAGTTATACCCATGTTAATTATTTATAAGGTTTATATAAGTGTTGGTGATTTATACATCAGCTTTATATATGTTTTGGTGATATAATGCACAAAAGGAAAAGAAAATTGAATTTTTGGTGGGGGGTACATAAGGGAGTGAGATGGTTATATTTATAAAAAGAGCAATAGGAGATCCTTGTGGTGGTACTGCTCTGCATTTTTCGCTGGTGGCAGATACACGAACTTACATATGTGATAGGATTGCTTTGATCTAAGTAAAAAATGAGTGCAAGTAAAATTGGGGAAGTATAAGCTAAGACTGATTTATATCAAAGTCAATACCTTGTTTGGAATGTTGTAGTATATTTTTGTAAGATGTTAACATTGGGGGAAACCAGGATACATGAGATCTCTATTATTTCTTACAACTGTATGTGAATGTATAATTATTTCAAAGTAAAAGTTCACTAAAAATAAACTTGGGAAGAATGCCACTCAAAAGATTCAAATATTGAAAGTAAGCTCTCTAAAGAGGATGGAAGGTATTGAGAGGATTGTGATGTGGAGGACCAGCAAATTGTTTCTGGTGGCTGGTTTTAAAAGTGTAAGGAGAACTGCATAGTTTTATGGCCAAAGAATGCCAGTATATCTGAAATGTATGGTATTTTGATGCTACAGACTGAGGATCTGGCCTGGAGGAAACATGGCTTTAGGTTCTGGGGACCTAGATATTTCAGAGATAACTGTTGGGGTAGCTCAGTTATTGACATTATTTTTAATATAGTTTTTAAAAAGTGATCTTTTAAAAACATTCTAGAGTGGGTATAGAAATCTTGGTTGGACATCATTTTTCTTTGGAATTCTAAAAGCATTTTTCTTTTGTCATCTTGGTTTCTTTTGTCATCTTATAAAAGTCAGTCCCTTCGCATTCTTTGTATCAAGTGTTTTTTTTTTTTTTTTTTCTTGAGATTTTTTTTTTTTGAGATGGAATCTCGCTGTGTCGCCCAGGCTGGAGTGCAGTGGCGCAGTCTTGGCTCACTGCAACCTCTGCCTTCCGGGCTCAAGCGATTCTCCTGTCTCAGCCTCTTGAGTATCTGGGACTATAGGCGTGTGTCACTATACCCAGCTAATTTTTTGTATTTTTAATAGAGATGGGGTTTCACTGTGTTAGACAGGATGTTCTCGATCTCCTGACCTCCTGATCTGCCTGCCTCAGCCTCCCAAAGTGCTGGGATTATAGGCATGAGCCGCTGTGCCTGGCCTGAGATTTTTTTTTTTCTTTTTTTTTCTTTTTTTTAAAGACGGAGTCTTGCTCTTGTTGCCCAGGCTGGAGTGGAGTGCAGTGGTGTGATCTTGGCTTACTGCAACCTTCACCTCCCGGGTTCAAGAGATTCTCCTGCCTGAGACTTGTGAGTAGCTGGGATTACAGGCACCTGCTATCACACCCCGCTAATTTTTGTATTTATCTATTTTTTTCTTTTTCAGACAGAGTCTCACTCTTCCCCAAGCTGGAGTGCAGTGGCGCGATCTCAGCTCTCTACAACCTCCCCATCCAAGGTTCAAGTGATTCTCCTGCCTCAGCCTCCAGAGTAGCTGGGATTATAGGCACGCGCCACCAGGCCCAGCTAATTTTTGTGTTTTTAGTAGAGACGGGGTTTCCTTATGTTGGCCAAGCTGGTCTCGAACTTCAGACCTCAGGTGATCCACCCGCCTCAGCCGCCCAAAGTGCTGGGATTGCAGGTGTGGTCCACCGCACCCGGCCTAATTTTTGTATTTTTAGTAGAGACGTGGTTTCACCATGTTGGCCAGGCTGTTCTCGAACTCCTGACCCCAGGTGATCCGCTGGCCTCGGCTTCCCAAAGTATTGGGATTACAGGTGTGAACCACCTCACCTGGCCTTGCTTGAGATTTTTAAGATCATTTCTTCATCCCCACTCTTGACATTTCAAGATGATATGCTTTGGTGTAGGTCTAATTTTAAATAGAAAATCTTTTTTTTTTTTTTTTTTTTTTTTGGCAGAAGGTTTCACTCCCTTTGCCCAGACTGGTGTGCAGTGGCGTGATCTCTGCTCACTGCAGCCTCTGCCTCCTGGGCTCAAGCGATTCCCCTGCCTTAGCCTCTCAAGTAGCTGGGACTACAGGCACAAACCAACAGGTCTGGCTAATTTTCGTGTATGTATATATATTTTTTGTAGAGACAGGGTTTCTCCATGCTGCCCAGGCTAGTCTTGAACTCCTGGGCTCTAGTGATCCACCCACCTCAGTCTTTCAAAGTGTTGGGATTATAGGCATGAGCCACCGTGCCCAGTCAGGTCTTTTTTTTTATTTTTTATTTTTTTGAGATGGAGTCTCGCTGTGTCACCTAGACTGGAGTGCAGTGGCGCGATCTTGGCTCACTGCAACCTCCACCTCCTGGGTTCACACCATTCTCCTGCCTCAGCCTACCGAGGAGCTGGGACTACAGGCGCCCGCCACCATGCCCGGCTAATTTTTTTTCTTTGTATTTTTAGTAGAGACGGGGTTTCATCGTGTTAGCCAGGATGGTCTTGATCTCCTGACCTCGTGATCCGCCCGTCTCGGCCTCCCAAAGTGCTGGGTCTACAGGCGTGAGCCACCGCACCCAGCTCAGTCAGGTGTATTTTTATTCATTGTGCTGAATATTCATGTCCTTCATTTTGGGGAAGCTAATGTTTCTCTTATTTCCACTTTCTGGTATCTGTTTTCATCTGATGTTGGACCTCTATGATTGATCATCTAACTACTGGGTGTTGGATGTTTAAAAAAAGTTCTCTTCTGATACTTTCATTATTTCCATCATTGTTTTGGTTGCTTTTTGAAGGCTTTCTTAATATCTGGCGATTTTTGGTTGATGGTTCATGTTAATATCAGTAAATTGGTATGGTTTTCTTTTTTGGTGTAATCTGCTCATCCAGGACTGTTTTGTTTAATGTGAGGTATGATTGCACACTCTATTTTTAGCTTTTTTTTTGAGACAGATTTTTGCTCTTGTTTGCCCAGGCTGGAGTGCAATGGTGGCATGATCTCGGCTCACTGTAATCTCCACCTCCTGGGTTCAAGCGATTCTCCTACCTCAGCCTCCCGAGTAGCTGGGATTACAGGCACCTGCCACCGCGCCCAACTAATTTTTTTGTGTATTTTTAGTAGAGACGGGGTTTCACCATATTGGTCAGGCTGGTCTCAAACTCCTGACCTCAGGCAATCCACCTGCCTTGGCCTCCCAAACTTCTGGGATTACAAGCGTGAGCCACTGCGCTCAGCTGATTGCACACTCTTGGTAAGTGAAAACGTCCTATGGACTTGGACACCTAGGCAGAGAATAGAGAGGCTGGCTCTTTTTCTCCAAAATTGCTAAAAAAAAAAAAAAAAAAAAAAAAAGTAGTTTTCTCTGAGACGTAGAATTTCTTAGTGTATCTCATTCATTGGTGAAATTACCTTTTCTTTTCCTTCCCCAACTCTATTTTAGAGGTTCAAAATAATACTAGGATGTGTTCAACTTCTGTTCAGCCCCAGTACCCAAAACATGAGCCCTCTCTTGTGAAATCTTATTTTGTTTAGGAAGTAATTCTCGGGCTTTTAGTTGGGAGCGATCTTTATATAGTTTTATATTCTGAGATAAAGGGATTGGATTGACTGTTCTAGCTGTATTCTGTAGTTGGTTTTCCACATACCTATTTTGATTACCATCCAGTAGTCCATTCCTACTCCTTCTAACTGCCATCTCAAAACTTTCTAGAACCCCGGCGGTATCAATGGCTTTTGCTTCCCTTTTAACCTTTGTATGAGTTCTAGGCTGCTGTTTTCTCTACTCTTGTTTATTATCAATACAATCCCATTTATTTTCTGCTTTCCAGAAAGTCATAAAGTCTTCGATCTTCCAATAGTAATACGTGTTTTCAGTATTGATGTGGATTTATTGCTTTTATTCTTTGCACTGTGTATTACTACTGCAAATAAGTATGCAAACTTAAGTCATCTTCAACTCCTAATCTCTTAATAATGGTCTTTTCCTTAGAAATTACAAAAACAAATTTGACAGTTTGGTGTTTATTGTCTTAGACTTTTATTATGTACTTGCAAATGTGAAAAGCAATGTATATAGTTTAAAATATATCATCAATTTTTAAAAAATATATACTCACAATGTTTTACAACTTGTCTTTTTTTAGTAAAAACATCTTGGGCAGCCTTCTGTTTACTAGACTGTTAGCTCCATCAGGGCATAGTTGTTGTTAAATTTATTGCTGTCTGTCCCTGTCTAGAACAGTGCCTGGCTCAGAGGGAGCACTCAGATAATTATCAACTGACTAAATGAATATGGATCTACGTTATTGGGAGTTTTGAAAGGGAGGAATTGTCTTTTTCCTAGACATAGGAAGTTAGCATGAACTGAAGGGTAAAATAGACCAGAGGATGACCAATGAAGGTAACACCAAGGAGAAACTACTTCCTGCTGTTGGGAGTTTTAGACTAGTTTATATATTAGAAGATCTAGGATCTAAAAGCTTAGACTTTTCATGTAAACCAACAACTGTTTTAAGTTTTTTTTTTGAGCTGGAGTGTTGCTCTGTCACCCAGGCTGGAGTACAGTGGCACGATCTCAGCTCACTGCAGCCTCTGCTTCTGGGGTTCAAGTGATTCTCCTGTCTCAGCCTGTCTCAGCCTCCTGAGTAGCTAGGACTACAGGTGCACGCCACCATACCTGGGTAATTTTTGCATTTTTAGTAGAGACGGGGGTCTCGCCATGTTGGCCAGGCTTGTCTCGAACTCCTGGCCTCAGGTAATCTGCCCACCTTGGCCTCCCAAAATGTTGGGATTACAGGTGTGAGCCACTGCACCTGGCCTAGCTGTTTTAAGTTCTATATAGGGGTGGACAATTTCTTTTTTTTTTTTTTTTGAGACAAGGTCTTGCTCTGTCGCCCAGGCTGGAGTCCAGTGGCATGATCTTGACTCACTGCAACCTCTGGCTCCCAGGTTCATGCAATTCTCCTGCCTCAGCCTTCCGAGTATCTGGGACTACAGGTGCGTGCCATCACGCCTGGCTAATTTTTGTATTTTTAGTAGAGACAGGGTTTCACCATGTTGGCCAGGCTGGTCTTGAACTCCTGACCTTGTGATCTACCGTCCTTGGCCTCCCAAAATGCTGGGATTACAGGTGTGAGCCACGGCACCCGGCCTGAGGAGTAGACATTTTAACATTTGCTGAATATTAGTGTGAATTTGACATGAAAATTGGGCCATGTAGAATGGGGATGAGGATAGAGTAGAGGGATTAGCTAGGAAACTATGTTATTATCATTGTGAGGTAAAAAGGTTTGGAATAGGGAAGACCATTGACTCTGAAAATCAGAAGACCTTGATTCTATCTATCTGTCTGTCTGTTTATTTATCTTTTGAGACAGAGTTTCACTCTTATCGCCCAGGCTCGCGTGCAATGGTGCGATCTGGGCTCACTGCAACCTTCCTGCCTCCCAGGTTCAAATGATTCTCCTGCCTTAGCCTCCTGAGTAGCTGGGATTATAGGAATCTACAACCACACCCAGATAATTGGTTCTGTTTATAATTATGAAATCATAGGCAAATACTTCCATATCTCTGGACGTTTGTTTTCATCAGTAAGATGAGTCATTGCAATGTAATTGATGATTAAGACTATTCCAACTCTAAAAGAGTCTTTAATGTAATCCTTTCTTTATTCAACTTTGTGTTTTTCTTTAGTCTTAAATTTACTGGGCCAAAATAATACTAACTTGATTTTCTTTTACAGTTTGGCTGTTAAACTAGAAATTGAGCATAAAAGCTTGATATTACTTACTTGCAACACTGTTTTATGACATTTAATTTAAAAGTGATAGAAAGTTTTTTATATAAATTACCAATTTCTTCCTTCAGGAATCAGTGTCTGTCCCTGAAGGGTCATTAAATCAGCTATGTTCTTCAGAAGAACCAGAACAAGAAGAACTTGATTTTTTGTTTGATGAAGAGATTGAACAAATAGGACGAAAAAACACATTTACTGATTGGTCTGATAATGATTCAGATTATGAAATTGATGACCAAGACTTAAACAAGATTTTGATTGTAACTCAGACACCACCTTATGTGAAAAAACATCCCGGAGGAGATCGAACAGGCAACCACATGTCTCGGGCAAAAATCACATCTGAACTTGCTAAAGTTATCAATGATGGCTTATATTATTATGAACAGGATCTATGGATGGAAGAAGATGAAAACAAACATACAGCCATAAAGGTAATTGTTTCTGGCCAACATCTTTCTACTGATGCTTTGTTTTGATTGTATGTTGCTGTTTATATTTTCTTAAACTTGAGGCTCTATTTTATGAAATGTTGAATATAAATACATTGTATTTAACTTAAAATTCCTGGAAATATACCTGATAATTACTACCTGAGGAATCATTTTATTTTATGAAAGTAACAGCGTGATGAATACTGTAATTACAAAAGAAAATTAGCACTCACTGACTTAAACCCTTGCTTTTTTTTTTTTTTTTTTTTTTTTTTTTTTTTTAATAGGTGAAAATACTAAGAACACGCTTTCTCATATGAAAGAATAAAAACAACTTACTGTGGGGACAGGCTTGAATTATATACTCATTACTTACCTGGCTATCACCACAGCTGTATGAGCCAGTGGCTTTAGAGAGCACTCTTCTTCCCCCTTTCTGTTTTCCCCACTTAGTCTATGGTGAATGATCTAAGATAGTGGAAATGGTTGTGGACAAACTATAAATGACTAAACTGGATGATTGTCTCTCTTGGTCTAGTCATTACTGTGGTGCTAGGGTTACTTTTTACAACCTTGTTCTAATTTGTTTTATCTTCTTGCATTTCACCTCAGATCCTGGTCTCTATCCTAGTTATTAAGGTAAAATAGAGACCCAGAATAGTTTACTAGGTATCTGCATTCCTTCAATATGAATTATAATGGCACAGATATGGGGATAAAAAGGGATCTTTTTCTGCCATTAAGTTTATCAGAAAAGTCCCAATAGTTAAATATTTGTTTTCAGGATAGGGTATAATAAGGGAAACATTATATGCCAAATAGGAAACTGATCTTGGTTGGAAATAGTTAAAAAGTTGTAGGAAGAAAAGCTAGCCAACTAGTGGCTGGGTAGAGGGGACTGCCTGTTGATGGGGCTTCATATCATCAGCAAGAAGTGTCCTAGCCTTCTTGGCTCCTCATTTCTTTTCTTCCTGGAATCCCCAGTACTGCTTTTAGCCTTCTGTAACCACTGCCTTCTTGGAGAACCTGCCTCAGGCTATGATAGCTTGTTATGTGACTTAGAGCCTGAGTAGTTCTCTGCCTATCCTACTGCTATGGGAAAGGAAGTGTGTTTTTATAATGCTTCTCAGTTGAAAGGCTTTCCTAGTGTAAGCATTGCTATTTTATTTGTAATACTTAGTTTCTGTAAGTAATACCTATCTTAAATCCTTTTAGAACAGAGATTCTAGTACATTCTACTAATAATCAGTTAAAATTATTCTTCCCCCATTCTCAATCCCTTTACCCAGCTTTGTTTTTCACCATAGCATGTATCATTATCTATAATTCTGTATATTTTACTTACTTTTATTCTCTTGGAGAAAAACCATGGATGTAATACCAATGACAATAGGATTTTTTGTCTATTTTGTTCATTACTATTGTATCTCTAGTGCTAGAATGGTTTCTGGCACAAATAAATATTCAATTCATGTTTGTTAAAGTGGGTAAATAAATTATAGAGTAAACATTATGCACTAACCAAAGGAACCCAACCATTGTGTGTAATATTGGTTCTGTGGGAAAATGTTTTCAGTCTTCCAAGTAGTAACAAATTTGTAAGCCAACTTGAGAAACATGCCATTTGTAGGTGATTATTTCCTTAAATTATAGACAACAATAATTAAATGCCATGTATTGAGTTCTTGAGGCATGTGCTGATCTTATTCATTAACAGAAAGTAATCTTGGCTATATAACTTTAACCATTATAATTGCAAATATATCTTACTTTGACTTGATTCTTACATTCCTGTCATTTAACTCATTCTCTTTGGTTCTGATTCTGTGGTCTACATGTAGTTCCTCATTAGACTTATACTTTTCCTGTGGGTCTGCTTAAAGGGAGAGAAATCAGTCATTTAACATATGCTCATTGAATGCTTACTGTGTGCCAAGCACTGCTAGAAACTGGGCACAGAGTGAGAAGATAACAAATAGGGTTTCTACATACCTAGAACCTACAGATAATTGGGGGAACAGACATAAACCCACAAGAAGTACTTAATCACAAATTATAATAAATATTCTAAAAGAAAAAAACAGGATGCTGTTTCTTTGAGTAGTCAGGGAAGGCCTCTGAGAAAGTCAGTAATAGTGAAATCTGAAGTGGAAGTAGGACATGTAACCAAGCAAAGAGTAGGGAAACGGTATTCCAGGAAGAGGGAACAGTAAATGTCAAGGATATGTGGCAGGAAAGAATTTGGCGTATTTGAGGAAATGGAAAAAAGGTCAATTTGCCTACGGTATTATATAAAAGGTTAATTATAGATGAATAGGCAGGAGTCATATCATTTATGTGCCATGTTAAATAATGTGGAATTTATCTAAAGTTCAAATGCAGTACTTTAGGTTTTGCAAAGGCAGTGTAACATCTAATTTTTATTTTTAATAAATCACTCTGGTTGTTTTGGCACAGAATGGATTGTACAGGGACAAAAATGGGCAGAAGAAATCCAGTTAAGAGGCTATCCATATAGAAGATGAATTGGTAGGCTGAGACAAACAGGTGGCAGAGGAAATATAGAAGTGAGAAGACCCATCTCATCTGAGCCTTGAGGAATGATTATATAGCAGTTGTGTAGGAAAGTGTGTTGTTGTGAAAGTCAAAAGCTGGCCCTAAGAATAATAGGTGTGTCAGCAACTTTACAGGTTGAATTAGATAGAAATGAAAAGTATGCCAAATTGATAGGGCAGTTTAGTACTGATTTTCGACCTCTGCAATAAGAGTTTTAGTGGATCCAGAAGCTATGTTGAACTGGACCAAAGAGTGAGTAAAGGCTTTATTCTGTTTTTGGCATATATTTACTGCTGAAGACTACTAAAATGAATAGGCTTATAGGTAAGAAAATATCTGCTTAAAATATTTGAAGATATGCTAGGTACATTATTATCAGGATAAAACTATACAGAAGTGAAGTACTGAAACTTACTTTTACCCTTAGGACCCTTTGTAGAAGCTACCCAAACAGGGGTAAAAACCATAAACTCAGGGACCAGCCAAAATTGTGGATTCCCATAGGATTCCTTTTCCCATTTAATTGGTACCCAAAAGTGCACCAAAGTCTCACAGATCACCACTGAAGAACTTACTCATGTAACCAAATACCACCTGTTCCCCAAAAATCTATGGGAAAAAAAGGTACCCCAAAGAATACACTTACAGTGAAAGAACTAAACTTGCTTCCTACCTACTCCCCTAAGGGACTCTATAAAGAATATTTTTCTGACTGGCGCAGTGACTCACACCTGTAATCCCAGCACTTTGGGAAGCCAATGTGGGTGGATCACAAGGTCAGGAGATCGAGATCACCCTGGCCAATATGGTGAAACCCCACCTCTACTAAAAATACAAAAATTAGCTGGGCATGGTGGCACGTGCCTGTAGTCCCAGCTACTCGGGAGGCTGAAGACAGGAGAATCACCTGAACCTGGGAGGCAGAGGTTGCAGTGAGCGGAGATCACGTCAATGCATTCCAGCCTGGTGACAGAACAAGACTCTTGTCTCAAAAAAAAAAAAAAAAAAAAAAAAGAATGTTTTCTGGTTGTGCTGAGCAGAATAGGGAGGAAAAAAATTGGGCTAGAAGTTGTATTCATGAAACCCAAGTTCATACTCTGTGGGTGACTAAAGGAAGCACTAGTTGTAAATTTAATGTGATTGCGGTCTTTTTGTTTCCCAGACACCTAGCATATGAAAATAAAGATATTTTTGTGTGTGTGAAAATATTCACCTTTATCTTAGACCTCCTTTATTCACATTATATTGCAAGGAAAGTTAGCAGCACATAAAGTGAATAATCTAACAAGAAAGTGAGATCTTGCATGTGAGAATGAGCAGAAAGTAACAGGCAGCAGAAACATACCTTAAAATAGTTTTTTTTTGAAATGGAGTCTCGCTCCATCGCCCAGGCTGGAGTGCAGTGATACCATCTTAGCTCACTGCAACCTCTGCCTGCTAGGTTCAAGTGATTCTCCTGCCTCAGCCTCCCAACTAGCTGGGATTACAGGCGTGTGCCATCACATCCAGCTAAATTTTTATATTTTTTGTAGAGACAGGGTTTCACCATTTTGGCCAGGTTGGTGTCGAACTCCTGACCTCAAGTGATCTGCTTACCTCGGCTTCCCAAAGTGCTGGGATTACAGGTGTGAACCACCATGACTGGCCCCTTAAAATAATTTAGATAGTCAGATTATTAAACAAAATACGCAGTAGCTAGGCTTACTATGTTTAAGAAAATAAAAATATGTGTAGAAAAGAAGAAATCCTAAAGAATAACCATAGAACTTCTGGAAGTAAAAACAATTATGATTAAAATTAAGAGCTAAATCAATTGAAGGGATTAACAACAGATTAGACAGAATTGGAGAATTAGTCATTTGGAAGACTGTTCACAAGAATTTATTCAGAAATTTCCAGAGTAGCAAAGAAATAGAATATATGAAAAGAGGGTACAGAATGATTTTCTACACAGTCTTTCCTATCAGTTGATAAGTTTTAAATCAAATTTTGTAATTTAACATCTAGATTTTGTTATAAAGCTTTTTATTTTTATTTTTAAAAAAAAAGGTAAGCAAGAAACTTGGAATATAGGATAATGGAGAAGGTCTAAAATACACATTTAGTCAGAGTTCCAGAGTGAAAGGGTAGAGAGAATGGGGCCAAGTCATTATTATAAGAGGCAATTAGGACCTCTGCAGAACTAAGGAGAGGTGTCAGAGTTTAGCCAGAAAAAAAAGACAGATTACTTTCTTTTTTATTTTTTTTTAGACGGAGTCTTGCTCTGTTGCCTAGGCTGGAGTACAGTGGTACGATCTCGGCTCACTGCAAACTCTGCTTCCCGGGTTCATGCCATTCTTCTGCCTCAGCCTCCCGTGTAGCTGGGACTACAGGCGCCCACCACCACGCCCGGCTAATTTTTTGTATTTTTAGTAGAGACGGGGTTTCACCATGTTAGCCAGGAT